GGTCCCGAGGGCCCGAGGCTGCCTCTCGTCATCCTGTGTGGTCCTGTGTCTTAGCTCCCTCCTTCCTGTTCTCCTTCTCTGGTTCTGGAGAGCTGAGGCCTACCCTCCTGCTCCAGGCCCTTCATGGTGGCAATGCCAGGTCTTGCCACAGGATATGGGCTTTGGGAATGTTCCTCACTGGGCCCTCTAGGCTTGCAGGGCACAGGCCTCTCTCTCCTATGAGATGTTTCCTGCAAACTTGGGATGCAAACATTGGTGGGCATTTTAGACTGAATAGCTGAGGGCTCTGTACCAGGCTTTCTCTTCTGGGCCACCAACCAGCTCCTAAATCGTGACACCCATAGACTTACTAGTTTTGAATGTTCAGTCTAGCGTATGCTCATTTCTAGCTAGCTCTTTTAACTTAAATTAACCTGTTTCTCTTTATCTTCCTTTTGCCTCTGGGTTTTCTTTTACCTTTTCTTTCCTTCTGAATATCTTATTTTCATTGCTTCTCATGTCTGTCTGTCTGGTGGCTGCCTGGCTGGCTTGCCCTGTGGATGTGCCCTTCTTTCTCCTTCCTTCTCTTCTCGTTCCTCTCTCAATTCTAGATTTATCCTCCTATTTATTCTCTCTGCCTGCCTATCCTTTCTCTGCCTAGCAATTGGCAGGTCACCTTTTTTTTTTTTGACCAATTAGGTGCCTTAGGCAGGCAAGGCAAAACAAAAGCAACACATCTTTACATAATTAAACACACATTCTTCTGTCATTAAAGAAACACAGCATAAACAAATGTAACACACGTTTACACAGTTGAAATAATATCCTGTGGTATAAACAAATGTAACACATCTTTGCCTAGTTAAAATAATATTCCACAACAGGGCCTCATCCCTGGGTTCTTCCCAAGCAAGGGATGCCATTTCTTTGAGGCCCTGTGCCTTAAGCAGGCTGAAGCAGGTGCGCGGGTTGTGCTGGTCATTGTGGCCAATAGAATTCTATGAACATTGGTTACCAGACTTCTGTAATGGGAGACACAGGGCTCAGCAAGTAAGGCTGCCTGTTGCACAGCCTGACAACTGGAGTAACACACACGCTGGAAGCAGAGGTCTCGTTCCTGTGAATTGTTCTCTCTTATACACACACACACACACACACACACAAAATATAATTTAAAAAATTACCTTGTTTATCAGTATTCTAGGCCCGGGTTAGCTAGCTCTCTGTCAAGTGTTTCCTGGTCCTATTGTCAGCCTCTGGGCCCCAGTTCTTGCTGACCAGAAAGAGGAGACCCATGGCTAACAGGAACAACCACATTCCCCTTAGTAATAGCAAAAGCTTGTCACTGCCTTGCGAAGAGCAGGGAACCCCGCTTTGCCAGCAATGAGGAAATCTTCCTTCCTTTTTCCTCTGCGTGTTGAGACTCGATGGGAGAGATGGCCATGCATACAGGAAGAACCTGAGTTCAGTCCCCCGCATCCGAGTGTGGTCCTGCAGTGTGCACTGGAGGCCTAAGAACTAGGAAGTGGGATCAGGAAGATCCCTGGGGCTCTCTTGCCAGTCAGTCCATTCAAACAGGCTTGGTTGAGACCCTGTCTCAAAGCAAAAAGTAGAGAGCAATGGACCCCAGATGTTGACACCTGGCTTCACATATATGCACACAATGAAGGATAAGAGCTGACACTGAGAGCTTAGATGTGTCTGATGAGGTATGAAGAGTCCCCTGCCAGAGCAGTACTGGGTGTGGCCATTTTTTATATGCTGGGGTCTTCATGACCATCCCAGCAAAGACATCAGGAGAGCCTTGGCTCTTGACTGTAGCCCAGAGCTAATGGGGTTTGGAGGACCCTTTCTTGCTTACACAGCAGGGTGAATGCTCTCTCCTCTGAGGACTTCCTCTCCAATCCTGAACTTGGCTGTGGTCTGAATTGTCCTTCTGTGTGCTTTGGAGCCCAGGGGACAAGGAGCAGTGGCTGTGGCCCAGGCTTGTCACTAAGAAGAAACAATAAGCGCTTTGAGCATGGAGCCTGGGCAGAAGTAGTGCTTCCCAAAAAAACATCTGCAGCCTGCCTGCCAGCCAGTACCGGCTCTGGTCCCCTGGTATCCAGATGAGAATTGGCTTTTACTTTCCCTTCCCGTAGTTTATTTATTTATTTTTAAATATTTATTTATTATTTATTATGTATACAATATTCTGTCTGTGTGTATGCTTGCAGGCCAGAAGAGGGCACCAGACCTCATTACAGATGGTTGTGAGCCACCATGTGGTTGCTGGGAATTGAACTCAGGACCTTTGGAAGAGCAGGCAATGCTCTTAACCGCTGAGCCATCTCTCCAGCCCCCCTTCCCGTAGTTTAGTTATGAAATGATGCATTTGGAAATGAAGCGGTGTCCTGTTATGCCCAAATCCACAAGATCCCCCAAAAGCCAACAAGGAGACCGACTCCTGTATATAAAAGCAAAGAAAGAGCCTTTATTTTATGCAAGTTTGCGAACTCTGTCTCTCCACATATCCAACGTATTGGAATAAATGGAGAGCCCCTAGCTCAGTTAGAGTTGTGTTTTTGTAGTAGTAAAGGTGGGGGTGAGGGGCTTCTGAGGTTCAGGATTCCTGATTGGCTGACATTTGTCTAGGGGTGTCTTGGTGAGTGTGTGCTGGCAGGTGATCCTATCTACAGTGGTTGGAACGTTAGGTATTTCCTTTGGATGGTCTGTTCTTGGGTGGTGTTCAGGTAATCTTAGTTTATGGTGCTTCCTGCAACCAGGTATTGCTTCAGGGTAAACTACTGAGACTCAGGCTTCTATTAAACTCGAAGCTGAGTCCTACTCTGGCAGGTGATAATGTTTGGAAGTAAAGAGCTTCCTTTGGGTGATCTGTACATATTTAGCTGTACATGGCTGGCTCCTACATTCCTTCTCTTCTCGTTGGGAAAGCCCGGTGTTTAAAAGCTGCTTGGGTCTTCAGTGGGCGTGGCCAGGCCTGGCTTCACAGTGCTTATGTGGAGTTTTGGAAGGAGGGGACTGTGTGCCCTGTAGGCTAGCGGAGTTCCTGGTATGATGTCACCACCCCCATCCAGAATAAGAGAATAACACTGGGTGATAGAGGCCAGGCCCTGTCCTGTCCTTGCTGGGAAAGGCAGGGCCCTCCTGAAGGAGGCAGGTGGGCCCTTGTAGCCCTGGGCCCTTTGCTGTGCCCCTGGGCGGCTCCTGAACACAGTGTCCTGTTCCCATTGTTTCAAACCTTCCATTGTCTGTAGCTGAAAAGATATAGGAAAAAAAGTGAATGTATTTTGTTATTCTTTGCTTCCATCCTGCCCTCTGAGGACATATCTGGTCTAGAGTTACACAGTTCTCAGGTGCCCGGTGACCCTGGGCAGACCGCTGCTTGTTCTGACTCTTTCCGTGCACTTTTCTCTCGGGTCAAGGTATCTACCTTGGCCCAGACAGGGGACAGGCAAGGACAGACTTGGTGGTGGCATCCAGATTCCATGTGCCCTCCAGAGGGTGCTGCAGCCCAGAGACCCCTTTCAGTGCTGTCCCTCTGCCACTGGGAAGCTTGTCTCCCAACCATCCATGTAGATACCTACAGTGGGAGTCCCTGGGAAGAGGGTCTGTCTGAGTGACAGATGTCTGGTGACCCTCCAGTGGATACCTCGGAAAGGTGTCCCCTGAGGAGCAGTTCTGGGAGGCCTGGTTCACTGTAAGGTTCTTCATAGAACTGTGGGCTCTGTAGGGAAGGCTTGAACCTGGTCCAGCAGTCTGGGTAGATGCTGCTGCCAAGGGGCCTTGAATGATGGAGGAGCGCCCTGGAGCGGAGGCACAGCTGGGCATGTATGTGCCAGTCCGTTCCTTTCCCATACTGAGTTACGCCCTAGTTAATGAAGAAGGAAACATTTTTTTGATGTGAGATGTTCTTCTGTATGTGTTGCTCTTATTGGTTAATCAATAAAGCTGCTTTGGCTTATGGCAGGGCAGAATATAGCCAGAATGGAAGGGAGAGATAGATAAATATAGAGAGAAGGCAGAATCAAAGAGATGCCATGTAGCTGCCAGATGCTACTGGAACCTTTCCGGTAAGCCACAGCCCTGTGGCTAATGCACAGATTAGTAGAAATGAGTTTACTTAAGATGTAAGAGCTAGCTAAGTGTAAAACACAGCATCTGCTTTTAAGTGCTATGGTACACAGGCTAGGAACCAGGATGGAGATTTAAAAACACACGCACACAGACTGAGACACAGGGACATGGATCATCCTTGATACAAGAGTGCCAACTTAATTTGTCCTCAGGGGCAGTTTACATAGGGCTCTAGCCACGCCCAAACTCTTGGGAATCTTTCAGCTGCAGACCCACCCTTGCCGTCAGTGTCTTGTGCTCAGAGCAGCTGCAGCAGGGTGGTTTTTCAAGACCAGGAGGATTTCTCTGTGTACCAGCTCTGGTTGTCCTGGTACTTGCTTCGTAGGCCAGGCTAGCCTCGAACTCGGGTCTATCTCTGCCTCCTAAGCTCTGGGATCAAAAGCACGTCAATGCTAAATCCATATGGATGGTTTTTGTCCTATGAACAGCGCCTGGTTTTCTGAGTGCTTTGTCTCATAGAGGAGCCTTCCCATTTCTACTGCCTCCATAACCCTCCCTGAGGTCGACTGAGAACCCTTCTCGACCCCCTCCCCCCGGACATGTGTCACTTTCTTCTGGCTGATGTTCAGTAAGTTCCAATCTTACAACATCTGGACCGTGGCTGGGTGCACGTGTTTTCCTCCTGAGGTGGAACTGGGCAGTTGTACTGGGCCACAGGTGCCCTGCTTTAGACACAGTGAATGGCAGCGGGCTTTGACAGTCCCAGTGCATCAACCTGAGCGAGGCCCGAGGAAGCCCACTAGCTCTGGGGGAAAAAGGGACAAGAACCTGCTATGTCCTCTTCAAACATGACTGAATTTTCCAGTCCCTGGCATGATAGTGGTTTCCAGACAGGCCTACATTTATAGACACCAAGTCAACATTAGAGACAAAGTTGAGGATAAAAACATATTTCTTTTAATTGCTCTTGGCTTTGATTTGTACTGACAAGCCCTGGAGAAACCAATACAATTTGATCGTAAACAAACTACACTGTGGGCAGTTGGTGATCCAGAGAGAACACAAACCTACTTCCCAGGGAGGCCACTACTTCCTGAGTCCTCAGGCTCCCTGTGCTTCAGTTCGGAAAGGGGACTGTGTCCCAGCACTAGGGAGGATGAGGCAGGACCACCAGTGTGGGGCCACATGGGATACATGAGAGCTAGTGGGGAGCTGGGAGAAAAAAGAAAGTTTGAAATTAAACTGTAAAAATGACCATATCCACACTCCTAAGACCATCATCTTCCCAAGTGCTGTTTAGGTCACCAGCACTAAGATCTGCTTCTCCGGTCTCCCCGGCAATTTTACTTGAGGAAATAACACACATCAAGGACAACCATGGCATCCTAAATGTACTCCTTCACGTGGCAGAGCCTCCGTGTTTGTGCGCATAAGAAATAAAACCAAAAATCTTGGTCTGGCACAGCAGTGCCCACCTGTAAACCCAGCACCCAGAGGTTGCCCTCTGCCCCGGGAGTAATTTCGGCAGGAATTACATGTGCTTCCAGGATGCTCACTGGTCCCTGAGGATGGGTAGCTAGCGTGAAAATACTGCGGATGTTTCTACCACCGCTGCCTGCTGCTTCACAAAACTTGGCTATATAACATAACTTTAAAATGAAAAAAAAAATTACTGGACATGTTGAACTTTGTAAATGAAAAGCTAGCGGCAGTTGCTGCCTTAACCTTAATCTTTTCTACACAGGTTTTGTTTTGAGTATGACTGTCAAACTCAGCACACTGTGGTCATGCCACCACAAGTTACACTGCACACGACCTATTCTGAGAACAGCATAATATCTCTATTTTTTATGGCCTATTGATATACTTCATTACTGAGCAGGCAAAAGACAAAGTCATTTCATTCCTCTCAGGAATGTTATCCATGAGTCAGTTGGTCCAACAACAGGAAGTGGACCCCTCGACTGTGTTTAGGAGTAAAGCCAGAGGCAGACGTAGCAACTCTGCGATCCCTGCAGTAGTGACCTGCCATCCTCTACTGGGGCTTCTGCACAAGGGTGCACAGAGTAGGAGGTACCTGGGCATACCCTGAGCATAGGGCAAACTGATAGCACTTTGAATGCTTGGGAGCCAGGGCCTCAAGGCAAAACCAGGAGGATCTGGGCCTCTGGCTGTGCTCCTTCCTGAGAGGCTCCACCCTTCAGACCCAAGGTAGTTTCCTTAGACAAGGCCAATTGCCAAAGCAGGCTTTGCTCTGAAAAAAAAGTCAGATTTGTTTCAAATGGAAGCCTGAGCATCTCCCCGGGATTCTGCACTAATGCAAGCTCGAAGAGTTGCAGAAAACCTGCGGATGCAGGTGCTTGTGTTCTAGGTAACAGAGCTGTCAGCACATGTACTTCCAGGCAGACAACTTCCTGTTCTGCCAAGAGCCTGGGGTCCAGACAACACTGGGGAAAAAAAAAAAGCAGGTGCAGCCAGAGAGGCCCTGGGCTCACTCACTAAGCTTGAGAACTATGCCCGAGGCCTGGGAAACTGTGCTAGTGTGGGCAGCAGCCTGGGGGCACTGGCCCTCCTGAAAAGACACTTTGGGCTTGCTATAGAGGTAGGAAGACAGGGACAGGTCAGGCCGAGGAGAAAAAGCCTCATGGACAGAGTGGCTTTTCTCCACCCCGCACCTGTCCACCCCGTGCTGGTCACACGTAGAAAGGCTACACTATTGCTCATTCAAGAGAAACAGCCAAACGCCCACAGAATCCACAGAATGGGCCCGCAGCTGACATGCTTTCACAAGGGCAGACTTAGACGAGTAGCCGGAACGGCACCGACTGCGGTAGTGCAGCAATGGGCACCGAGGAGAGGGGCTCCTTATATCACATCACTTAGTCCTCCTCTGAGTGCGTGCATGGACTCAGACCAGAACCATGGCCCGCACCTCAGGCAAGGACGGACAGGGACAGGCCTGGAACATTTGCCCCGTTCACGGGGATTTGTAAAATAATTAAAAAGCCCACATTTAAAAGTTATAATTTATAGAATATCCAGTATAAAAGCAGTCCTTAAAAAGGGATGCTGGCTCTCAGAAAAAGTCCGCAGCCCTTGGCCTTCTTTTCGGAGTGGTGGCTGGTAGCTTCATGGTTGACGTAGGAGTGCTGGCAGGGGAGCTGGTTGGCGTCTTCAGCACTCCGTGCAGCGGCCTCTGCTCAGGGTTAAAGGCCACTCTGGAGAGGCCTGTGGGGCTGACCAGGATACTCTTGTCTGTCTTCTTAAATTCTGTCCGAAGGAAAGGTTATTAGTTGGATGGACAGAACCAGAGAACACCGGGACAAATGGCTTCTCACCTCACCCCTTTCCTGGTGGCCTCAGGAGGCCCCAAGAAATCTTTCCCCGCCTTTAATCCCAAGACTTGGGAGGCAGAGGCAGAAGAATCTCTGTGAGCTCAAGGCCAGTATGGTCTACAATGAGCTCCAGGAATGCTACAACTACACAGAGACACCCTATCTCCAACAAAACAAAACACCCTGAAACCTCTCTCTTCCTTGGCACCCATGCCGGACTGCTTAACTGTCTGACCCCGAAATAGGCAGGGACAGGAGGGTCTTCGGCTACTGGAGAACCCTGAGCTGGCTCCAGCTGGTTGGTCCCAAGGAAGTTTCCCAGAAGCCAACCCACTCACCTGCAGTCATGTTTCTATTCAATCCAAAGGTGACTTTCTTGGAGCTGGAGGGTGTTTTATTCAGCTGCAGAACAAAGGAGTAACCATGGTAACACAGGTGCTCAGCCTCCTTGTCTGGGAATTTTCTGAAGAACTTACCCAGGGAAGGCCCTTGCAGTCTGTTTCCTGACCTGCACACATACAAAGGCTAATGGGGCAGCATGCTATGACCTAAACAGACTCCACTACCAGACTTCTGCCCATGGCCGTCACATTTTACAGATGCCCAGATTTTTCAAATGGATACCACATTCCCAGTGAAAAAAATAAGGATGTTTGGAATTCCAAATTTACCACCCAAAATGATAAGGACATGTTAATAATCATCATTTATTTTGTCCCAGGACTTAAAAAAGTTATTTATTATTAGGTGTATGGTGGATATGGATGTGCATGTGACTGTGTGTGTGTCTGTCAGAGGACAACTTCTGGAAGTCAGTCCTCCTCTTCCACCTTGGGCTCTGGGGATTAAACTCAGGTAGTGAGACCTGGGTGGCAAGCAGTTTTACCAGCCAAGCTATCGAGCAGGTCCAGAATGTCTAAGCTGCAACTTGTAGCTCACAGGCAACTGGTTAGATTAGACTTAAAACGGGGTCTAATTTCAATGGGCAATTGGTATGAATTTAAAATCTTTGCTGGAGATAGCACCCAAGGCCGTGAGAAGTACTGAGAAAATGCTCTACTGCTGGCACCCCATCACAGACCAAAATCCCCAAACTTTTGTGCAAAGGACCTCAAATTATTTGATTTCCCAACACGCTATCAGAATTAATGGTGAGCCTTTCTACTTGAGATGTCCCTAGAAGCCTGAGCCCTCCTGAGCTCTGCCTCCTTCTAGAGTTTGGGGCTCATCCACATGCATGTGGTCAGACGAGGAAGCTGGGCCCTGCTAGTCCCCAAGTTCCTTGCCAGGTAGACTTCATCACCTGTACCCAGAACTCAGTTCGCCTGTCTGCATGCCCCTGTGGGGGTGTGCTATGGAGGGCTCACCTGGACAGCAGGACTTTGGGGACGGATGGCAGAGCTGCTTTTGGCTTTCCTGAAGAACAGGGGCTTTGGTAAGAAGTGGGTGTCAAACTTCACAAAGTCATCCTCCGTTTTCAGCGGCTTTTTCAGAGTCCTGATGCTTTCCTGTGAAGATGAGAAGTTGGGAGGAAGGAGAATCATACCACAGGCACCTGGCCAGATTCACACCCACAGGGAAAGAAACCAGAACAGCATAGCAGAGAAGTGCTAGAGGCTGACCCACCCTAAGCCCCTTAGCCCACAGTTTCTTTTGTCAGCTCTGCCAGAAACCCTCCTGCTCAGTGGAGCAGACTTCACTTCTGGGCCCTGTGCCAGCAGGGATCACAATGTTGGGATATCTGCGCGAAAGCCCACTGGTCTAACCTTAGGCTCTATACCCCAGAGCCTACAGATGGAGTAAGCATCCCTTTCAAGGTCTACCTGTTAAGCTCTCACGTTTCTATCTGTGCCCAGATATGTGGGCTGCATGTGTAGTGTGGCTTTGGTTTGGGGATCCCCACATCTGGGAAGCTGAGTGTGGAAGCACCATGTGGGTTGTTTGGCTGGAGCTTGGTGGTGCCCCCTTGCTGAAGCATGCTTTTTGGCATGCTCCAGAGCGACCCTATACCAAGAGAGAAAGCAGCGACTTCCCTTGGCCCCAACTAGTTAGCAATCATCCCAATTCCAAGGGCTATGAAGTAAATTCGTGCCTCTACTAGGGCAAGGCTAAAGGCTGAGATGATATGCCAAGGCTAGCCCAGTGCTGTGCTCTCCTTCAGTAACCCTTTACTGGCCAGGAACTCAACTTCGATACATAGGCACCGCAAAGCAGTATGTGTAAGCACACACTGGTGCTGAACAGGGGTCACATGTTTCCCTGGACAGCCAGGGAGTCACTATTTTGGTGGCTTGGTGGCCACAGCAAAGAACACATGGTAGTGGGTTTGCCACCCGGACTTAGCCAGGCACAGAAGCAGCATGCTTCCCAGATATGGCAAAAACACAAGAGCCTGGGTTGCCCTTACAGCTCCAGAAGTCTACAGAGGAAGAACGCCCTGTCATTAACCTGAGAGTCTAAGAGCTTCAGGCTTCCTCTCTGCCACAGGGGCTAGACCGAGAGAGCAGTTTTGAATGGAGGCTTGACTCCGACAGTGTCTTAGCTCCATGCTTCCTGTCTGACCTGGCGAGACATCAGGTCTGTGAGGGAACAGGTAGACATATGGTGCCGAATGGGTCACCTACACTTGGCCACCTAGACAGGAACCTGCCATCTGCTTGGTGAGAGCTGTTCTAAAGCAGTGCATTCTAACCCTTGTGTCCCCTAAGTCTGGCTGTCCCTACGTCCTAGCCCTAGCAGACAGTGGAGTCCTCTGAGCATACCTGGTCAAGCCCAGCACTATGTTCTGGGTACTTCCCCCCTTACCAGAGCTGGGATCTGCCCGGCGCTGGACTCAGTCACTCTGTTGTGTTCCACCAACTTTGACATCAGCTTCATTTTCTTCTTCTTTTTTAAAATTGCTGATTTTTTAATGGACAGATCATGGAGGTCAAGACTGCAGGACACTGTCTTCTTCTGTGGCCTCTTGCACAGGGGCAGGATGGTCTGGCTATCTTTCTCTTCGCTAGGGCTTGTTGGGGTACCTGCCTTCTGCACAGTCAAGTCACCACTGTTGACAGGGACAGCCCCGAGTTTCCGTTTCCTCTTCCGTTGGACACCTTCTGAGGAAGAAACTTGGGCAGCAGAGCTCTGGGGCCGGTCACTGCTAGGATCATTCTCTGCTACATCCTCCTGAGACAAAGGGGTAGATTTCCAAAACTCTCTGTGGGCCCTCAGGCTCTTCTTTCTTGGCCACTTCCTTTTCTTGTGCGTGGGAAAGATGGGTGTTGGCTCGGAGCTGTTCTCTTGGATGCTAGCTGTGGGCTCTGCTGCAGGCCCAGTCACACTTGCCTGTGGGGTCTGCCTCTTGGCATTGTTGGGCTCAAGGTCAGTTCTATCTGCTGGGGGCATGATAACAGCACCCAAGTCCTGAGTCTCAGCCTGAAAGTGGCTCTTCTTCTTCTTTTTCTTTTTCTTCTTGGGAATGTTGCCTCCATTGTCCTCTTCACCATCAAGAGAGACTGTGTTTCCTACAAAGATGCAGACCAATGAGTGTGCCAGCCCTGCTGGTGACTCTTGGGCAGCCGGGCAGCCAGGGAGCCAGGGTGTTTACTTATTTTGAGATAGGGTCTCATGTAACTCAGAGTTGCCTCAAACTTGCTATACAGCCAAGGCTGCTGTAGGAAACCCTGGTTGTCATGACTACCTCTCATGGGTGATAGGAATACAGGTGTACTGTATCAGCGCACACTCCTTTAGAGGCAGGGTCTCACCAGAGTTGTTAAGGTCTTGAATTAAAATACCCCCATTGGAGGGTTGAGCAGATGGCTCAGCAGGTTAAGTGCTTGCTGTCAAAGCGAGAAGACTTGAGTTTGGATATACAGCACACACATACAAGCTAAGTGTGATGGCATAATGTGGACCTGTAACCCAAGTGCTGGGGACAGTGTGTATGTCCGTCCAAGGTAGAACAGGTAGATCCCTGAAGCTCAGTCTAGTCAAGCTAATGGAGGAAGACACCTACTGTCGACCCCTGCCTGGCCTTGGTGTTTGTGAACCTGCATATACCCGGCACATGTATCTGGACACTTGGCCCTCTGTTTGGGGAGGCTGTGGAACCTTTGAGAGGTAGGCCTAGCTGGAAGAAGTCCTTGAGGTTTACAGCCTGGCCCTGTAGTTTCCCCGTCCCCTTTGCTCCTTGGCTTGCCTACGCTCTTTTATGCGCCTGCTGCCATGCCTTCCCCACCAGGACTGACTGTACCCTGAATTATAAACCCACACAAGCTCTTCCCCCTTTAGGTTACACTTCCTGTCAACTGTGCTCACAGTAGCTCAAGCTGGCCTCAGGTTCCTGACTGTTGAGATTCTAGAGCCCAGCCAAGACTACTCTTTGGTGGTGTTGGGGACGGCACTAGGGCCTGAGACACACTGAGAAAGGTTTCTGTCGCTGAACCCACTTCCAGTCCCTGGATCTTGCAACCTTCACCATCAGACAAGTTCTGACCTCAGCTAGTTTTGTTAACCGGTCCCACTTCTCTCCTCTGGTGATCCGAAACCTTCAAGCATATCTTGATAGAAATGTGTAAATGGCAAGAGGTTTTCAATCATATGTTTTTCAGTATTTTCAAAACTTATTTTTACTTTGCTTCATATGTATGTGTGCTGCGTGTAGAGGCCAGAAGTGCTAGATCCCATTAAACTAGAGTTACTGACAGTTCTAAGTTGCCATGTAGGTGCTGGGAATCGAACCTGTTCTCTGTAAGAGTTGGCAGTGCTCTTTAGCCTCTGAGTTCTATCTCCAGGCCCTAATATTTAACATACAGCCGGGCATTTGGTGGCACATGCCTTTAATTCCAGCACTCGGGAGGCAGAGGCAGGTGGATCTCTGTAAGTTCAAGACCAACCTGGTCTACAAGAGCTAGTTCCAGGACAGTCTCCAAAGCTACAGAGAAACCCTGTCTCGAAAAACCAAAAAAAAAAAAAAAAAAAAAAAAGTTAAAATACAAAAATTATGTTTATTTTGTGCATGTGTAGGCACACGAGGAGGTGAGAGGGCAACTGTGGGATTCAATAATCTTCTGCCATATGGGTCCTGGGGATTGAGCTCAGGCTTGGCAGTAAGTGCCTTTATCTGCTGAGACACCTTGTTAGCCCAGGCTTCCAATAATTTTAAAGTCAGAAGACACACACACACACACACACACACCCGATAGTGTTTGGAACCCTATTCTCTCCCTGTACCATTCAATAGCACACACCTCTGCACAAACGAGATCAGAACAGCGGCTGCACAGAAAATAACCTCTAGGACCCCTGAATACAGGTGACAAGGGTGTGGCTTGGGCAGTAGGTGGGGCCACTGGCAGTGGGACCAGGATCTAAGTCTAATGCATGAAGTGATTTTGTAGAGCCTCAACCTAGGCACGTGTGTGTGTGTCTTGGTCCTGTCTCAACAAGGTGATGGGACAGACAAAGTGGACTTCCTAGGGGAGGCCTTACCCTCTCTGAGGAACAGATAGGGGGTGTATGGAGAGTAAATTAGGGGAAAGGGAAGATGAGGGAGGGGGCCGGGATTGGTATGCAATAACAAATAAATAAACAAAATTAATTAATAATTGTATAAAAAAGAAAATAAGAGAACCTAGGGGATCTGTGGATGTGATGCTGCTTGCATGGTATCTCAATACTCTGGAGGTGCAGGCAGATCATGAGTTTGAGGCAAACTGTGGCTACATAAGAGGGTTCTATTTCAAAGAACAACCCCCCCTCTCCCAACCACACCACACCAAACCCCAAAACACATAGAAACATTATGCTACGCCAGTAATTCATAAGAACACTGGCTCTCACAAGTCCCCAGACCTCATGGCCCAGAGCTACCCAGGTGTGAGCAAGAGGTGAGTCTTTTCAGGCCCGAGACTAAGACTTTGCAGCTTACCTTTCTCCTTGTCCAAGGCAGCTCTCTCTAAAAGCTTCTTTCTTTTCTTCTTGTCCTTCCTCTGACTGAGGGCTTGACCATTTTCATCAGCACTAACGTCCTGAGCAAAACTGAGTTGAGCACTATTGCCTGGTAGGTGGCAAAGGGACAACGGTCAGCTTCCAAGGCCCTTTTGCGTCTGCTGCGGGAGCCCAGGTCCTGAGCTCCTCGCTTACCCTCCAGCGAAGACTCCCCAGCCTAACTTCTGCTTCATCACCTGCACTACCAACTGCTTCTCCAAGCGAACTCACGGCTCTTGGCTGGAAAACACACTGATGATGACTGCCAGAGCTTCTCAGGTTAGTTGGCTTTACATCCCCCTGGTTCTATGAGCTCACAAGGGGCAGGGAAAGCTGGCTCACTGGCCCGCTCAGATTTACCAGGCTTTTAGCAGCTTACCCTGGGGACATGTGTCCCAAAAGAAAATGAAAGATACTGAGATGCCAGGATTTTCTTCTTGACAAAAGATTGTAATCGTCCTAGCCTAGCTTAAAAAAAAAAAAAATCTTTGAGTGTTTTGCCTACATGTATGTTTGTGTCAAGTGTGTGCCTGGTGCCCACAGAGGCCAGAAGAGGGCATTCACCGGATCTCTATGTGGGCTCTGGAATTGAACATGGGTCCTCATAAAGGGCATAAAGGGCAGCCAGAGCTCTTAACCACTAAGCCACTTCTTCTGCCTTCCCTTTCCCCATTAAAAACTTAACTGTAGAAAGCACCAATAAAAATTCAAATAAATACCATATCACCCACACACAGGAAACACCAGATGCATGGAAAGTGGGTGCAAAGGGTCTTCCCTTGGGTATGCCATGTGAACCTAATTGTGGTCTGTCCCCCGTGAGTCACTTTCCATGAAGGCCTGAAGTCCCACTTTTCAGAATCTGGCCGGGAGGCCCTTGGTGGGTGTGCACTGGGTGTGACTCACAGTTCGACTCTTCTTACCTTCAGAGGGGTCCCGGAACCTGAAAAGGAACACATGGAGTTCAGAGTGGTAGACACAAGTCCTGGACATAAGCAGGAATCTGAACGTGCATTCCCCATCCTCTCCTCCACAGGGGAGGCTAGGGGACAGCTCTACCTAGGGACGTGATGGGTCAGGAAGGAAGAAACCCAGAACAAAGGCACCTTCAATCCACCAACACTGCAAAGGACACAGTGGCTAGAGTTTCTCCTGGCACACAAGACACCAAGAGTGCCAGCATCTTCCCCACTTGTCTCTGAAGGCAGACAGTCCAGTGCTACTTCTGTTCAGGAGACATTGGCAGAGGGTTCTCTTATGCAACTATATGCATTAGGCCAAATAAACAAGCTGAGGATACGAAGGAGGTCATGGGGCTGGGCTGGGTTGCTGGGGTAGGCAGGTAGGATCCAGCATCCACACTGGAGACCTTGGCACACATTTAGTGACCAAGCTATGAAGTATAGGAAGCTATGAATGCTATTTTCCAGAGTATTCTTTCTTTAAAAGCCATGTTTTGGTATGTATGCCTGTCTTCACGTGAGCATATGTGCACGCAGACGTCAGATCTACGTGCTATCACCCGGGGCCGCTCTCACTTTCCACACAGAAGCTGGGTCTCTCACTCGAACCCAGAGCTTACCATTTGTAGCTAGTTTGTTCTGAGGCATTCATACCATAGAGGGCCAAGGTCAGGCCAGTGCCTGCTAACCCAATGAGGTGAGCAGACAGCTGTCATTCTCATGCAGTCAGAACACACCTACTGGCTTTTTGGCAAATCATCTATTATGGCTCCATGGTCCTAATGACACAGACGCTGACTACCAGATGACCCGACCCCTTTGGCACAACCCTGCTGGGAGGTGAGAGTGAAAGTGGCTAACGGAGCCCCTTGGTGTGTTGACAGGTGACATTCGAGGAGTATGCTGGCACCACCACCCTACAGCCGTATGGGTGAGCAGGGCTGCTTCCTTCCCTGGCTTAAGTTCACATATGTGCTATGTAGCTAATGAATAAAATTCATTAGCACACTGCACACGAAATAAAAATAAATACATCTTTAAAAGAAGAAGAAGAAAAAAGCATGCAGGAGAGCGCTGGCCCACAGTGCTATGGCCATGGGCTCTCAATCGCTGCTTACTTTCTGATCAGTCTGAAGAGCCGCTTCCGGTTGAAGGGAGGGGTGCTCTTTGAGTTGGCTATTTCCAAGAGTCGATCAGCAACAGCATTTAAATCAAACTACCAAGAAGAGACAAGACATATGAGTGGTAGCGAACCAATCTGGCCTACCAGAGCCGCCTTCTGAATGTTCTTGGGCGTGAGTAGTTCTCTCTAGACTGTGGTTTCATACATAGGGCAAAATTTGCCTGATGAACTTATATTCCTCCTGGGTTCTCAATCTTAGAACTTCTAACACTCGTACTTTTTCAAAGTATAACTGGGGAGGGTGTGGTGGCACACACCTTTATTCCCAGCACTTGGGAGACAGAGGCAGGTGGATCTCTGTGAGTTCAAGGCCAGCCTGATCTACACAGAAGTTCTAGGATGGCCAGAGCTACATTATAAAGGGACCCTGTATGAACCATTGATCGACTAACCAGAAACCAAAACTGGAAGAGTGGCATTGTGGTGCAAACCTGTATTCCCAGCACTTGGGAGGCAGAAGGATTGCCATGAACTCCAGCCTAGACTATAGAACAAGATCCTGCTTCAAAAAACAAATCAACCCCCCCCCCCAAGCAATGCAGCAGGGCCAGTGCTGCCACACCAAGGAAAACAGGCAGCCACGGGCAGAAAACGAGCATTAGTGCCTTTCAAAATTCTTAATTGTAAAATGTCTGCTATATATCATTAAGAGCTTTTCTTCTAGAAACACAAACATGAGAACTGAGCACCATGTCCAGATGTCCAGAGTGACTCGCCCCTGTGGCTAGGGAGACGCCAGGACAGAGATGGTGGGGCTTTCCTTGTACCCCAAATCTCAGCTTCCTCATTCACTCCAGGGCTCCAAGTCACCTCTGACCAAAGAAAGGAAACCACTAAAATCCCCAAGCACAGGACGGTCACAATAGTGTCAGTTAGCTGCTGACACTAACCGCTGTACATCCCAGCCTGTGACTCTAACAACAGTAGCAAAACCCACTGTCAAACAGCTGCTCCCATGGCCCTTCGCTGCTAGCCCCAGCCTGGCTTCTGCACACTGGAGGGCACAGGCGCTAACACCCACATGCAGTGTCCATATCAAGTGTTTGTTCAGGACAGCCCAAGTCACGTTCTTTTTTTTTTAAAAATATTTATTTATTATGTATATAATACTCTGCATCAGACCTCATTACAGATGGTTGTGAGCCACCATGTGGTTGCCGGGAATTGAACTCAGAATCTTTGGAAGAGCAGGCAATGCTCTTAACCACTGAGCCATCTCTCTAGCCCCAGTCATGTTGTTCTTAAACCTCTGTAGTGTCTATACTGTGGTTGGACCCTTGGGCAGGCTGGCCAAAGGTGGCACAATTTGTGAATAAATATGGATAATATCTCACCACCAAACTTGCTCTCCATCCAATATACACCACCCCAGTCAAGGCCAAATCTGGACATCAGTAGTGACATGGATGACTAAAGTTATATTCATGTGAAACCAGAATCCATTTCATTTCTTCTTTAAATGGAATTTTCCAAAGGTATCCATCCTTAGGAAGCATCTTGCAATGGCGCTGGAGAATCCTGGCTTTCAGATTCTGGGGCGGTGGGAGTGAGAGCTGGCACAGCTTCTTTTTGCTGGGCTGCCGGGAACTCATGGATTGCTCGTTCTATCTGTGGCCTGAAGATGTGATTTAGTTTGGGGAAATGATCCTGTCCACCCACTCCTGCTTCCAACATGCCTGACTGAACCACACTCTGCCTCAGCCATTTCGCAAATGATTTCTTGTTCACTGCAGGATTCCAGTCCTGTTTGCCCAGGTGTGTTGACACAAAATTATTCACTTTCTGCCTCAGGTTCTAGTAAGGGGGCTTGGTGTTCATAGCAGCCAGGCAGTTCCAGTGGAAGCTGTTGAACTGGCCGTAGCTCTTGAGCTGCAGGTCTCCCGGAGGCAGTGAAGCAGAGTTGACCGGGCCCCTTGCCACACTCAAGTCCGCCACTGGTCCCAAGCCAAGGTCTGGCCTACCATGCCTGCTCCCGTACAGTCTGCCATGGCTGCATCCCATGCCTGGGCCTGCGCTCGGTTGCTCCATTGGGAGCCGTGGGCCGCGACGCACAGACACCAAGGGCCCCACTGAGGTTGCGGTGACAACAGAGGACAATAGAGTCAGCAGGGCTCTCCCTGCTCACAGCGCTGCTGGCACCTGTCTCTCCTGTACTTACTGTCTATTTTTGAAATGGGGGTCTCTCTATGTAGTCTGGTCTGGTCTGGAATTGCTTGCTATGTAGATTAGACTGGCCTGGAACTCACAGAGATCTGCCTACCCCTGCCTCCTGAGTGCTAGGATTAAGGTGTGCACCACCATGCTTGGCTTCTTTTTGTGTTTTTCAAACAGGATGTTACTAAGTAGCCCAGGTTAGTCTTGAACTATGTGCTGAGATTCCACATGTGCGACACCATGCCAACTTAAAATCTCATTCTTTTAAAGTTGTTCCCAACAAGCTCAGAATGGTCACATTAATTACAGAGAGCATTATAAAGGACTTTACAGTTCAGGTCTTAAAGGCTTAATGAGCTCTGACCCTAATTCTCTAGCCAAGCACCCCCAGGCAATCCACATTCTATAAAAAGCAAAAACTGCCCCCACCTGGAGAGATGACCCTGAATTCTTGAATGCTGCACAGCCATCTCTTTCTCTGTTGCCAAGGGCTCCATCTCCGAGGCATTCACCCAGTGCTGTCAAAGTACACCCAAAGACAAAGACAAAACCTTGACATTCAAGAATAGACTTGTTTGATTCAGCTCTCCAGGCTCTGGGTTCAATCCCCATCACCAAGAAGAAAAATTACAGTGCACCAGCAACTGCTGCCTAGGGAATGATACAAATTACTCTCTTAAAAATGCTTGTCTTTAGCCGGGCGGTGGTGGCGCACGCCTTTAATCCCAGCACTTGGGAGGAAGAGGCAGGCGGATCTCTGAGTTTGAGACCAGCCTGGTCTACAAGAGCTAGTTCCAGGACAGGCTCCAAAGCCACAGAGAAACCCTGTCTCGAAAAATAAAAAAAAAAAAAAAAAAAAAAAAGCTTGTCTTTCTATTTTCTCTGTAAAGCTCCAGGTTTTACCCCCAGTACTAGGTCCATACTGAACAAGTCTACCCCCCACCAAACAACTAAAGGCTCCTAGAAGGAACCTGTGTGTCAGGGGAGTCATGGTGTGATCCTGACTGTAGGCGGCTCTCCCAGGCACAGGCCACACTTCACAAGAAGGTGAGCTCCTGGAGGGACAGAATCTGTCAGGCCTAGTGTGAGCAGCACTGGGTTTCTCCTGGGGGCCCCTGGTTGTGCACATGTCTCTTCTTTACCCTGCTTCACTCTTTGGTGGGAGGGCTATACTCAGTGAGATGCCAACCAAGTGCCTATGGAGATTTAAAAAACAAAACCCAGAGGTGCTGGGGAGGCTTAGTCAGGCAGGTGTACACCACACAAGTACAAGGGCCTGGGTTCAACCCTCAGAATCCACATAAAAAATCCGGGGCATGGTAGCACGGGGAAGGCTGAAACAGGAGGTCCCCAGGACTCCCTGGCTAGCCATCTAGCCTAAGCAGGCATCTTCCAGGCCAACAAGATGTGCCATATCAAAATAAGAGGTGCATGACGAGATGTGCCATAACAAAATGAGAGGTGCCATATCAAATAAGAGGTGCATGAAACCCAAGGAACGACTCCCAGCGTTGACATCTGGCCTCCACATGAAAGTATACACACACGCACACAACCACAGCTAAGACAATATCCACAAACAAGCAAAACACAGCCAGCTCTCAGAGAGAAAGAACACAGGAAATGCTCTCACCAGCCTTCTTCCCGCGGACTGCTTTTGTACAGGCCAGCTTGTCTTCAGGGGTCTCTCGGGTAGAGAGGCCACTGTCACCCACTTTGGTTCTCTGCTCCTCCACAGTCTCTTCAGGTACAAATGCAGACTGATCTATAATGACTTCAAAAACATCCCTAGCTATAGTCTGTACCAGTGCGTGGCTGAGGGTAGAAGCACAGCAGAGAGAATGTGATTAAAATACTCGGTCTGGAGCCTGTGCAGAAAGGAGCAAAGTGGAGAATGGCTCAGGGAAGTGCGTGCCTGTGCCTGCCTGGGGCCCAGGGTGCCCACCACTGCTCAGCAGAGATGCAAAGGCACCCTTAAAGCAGGTCCACTGCAGATTCTAGGGACCACTAACTCTGCTTCCTTCTGAGCAGGATCTTATTGTGTAGCCTGGGCTGGCTGGCCTCAGGCCTGTGAGGGGTATTAGGAATGGTGTTCTAGTCAGGCAGCAGTGATGTGTGCCTTTAATCCCAGCCCTCGGGAAGCAGAGGCAGGTGGATCTCTGAGTTCCAGGACAACAGAACCCTACCCTCAGGCATCACCGAAAGCAGTGAGAACATGTGAGCCACTTACTCCTTAGTTTTGGCGGCAATTCTGCAGAATGGATCAATTAGCTTGAGGTTCTGATCTGCTAAAAGCTGTAATTTAGACAGAAAATAGAGGGAAAATGAGGGAAAGATAGTACATGTTGTAGAAGAGGAAGTCCCTGCCCCCTCACAAGTAAGATCAGCTGCATTGGCGCTGTCACACACAGTTGCAACATGCTGCAGGAACTGCTCAGCACACTAAGCCAGCCTCTCTCTGGTCTTCTGGGTATCTTAGTGCAGTGAGCCAAAGAACCATCAATTGATCAGGGCGACCCTGTAGCACTCAAGTCTCCTGGGGCAGCTGGGTGTGGCACCTGCCCAGCAGTAGGCCCTGGCTATCTCCAGAAATTCAAGAAAAATATGAGTGCCATGTGGATACCACCTCAGCAGGAGACAAAGGCATTCTTATTTCTACCTACCTATCTATCTATCTATCTATCTATCCATCCATCCATCCATCCACCCACCCATTAGGTTTTTTGAGGTTTCTCTGTAGCTTTGGTGCCTGTCCTCGAACTAGCTCTTGTTGACCAGGCTGACCTCGAACCCACAGAGATCTGCCTGCCTCTGCCTCCCGAGTGCTGGGTTTAAAAGGTGTGTGCCATTACTGCCTGGCTGACAAAGGCATTCTTTACTTTTAAACTTCATTTGTTCATTCATTAATCGATTACAGTGTGTGTGTACATGTGCTGCCCCTCTCTTAAAAATATATCATTTATAATTTGACTTAATATATGTATAAATGGTTCACTATAGAACGTCAAATAGTAAAAACTGTTATATTCTCAAACTGAGATGACCACTTTTATCTAAAAGTATACCTTTTCTTTCCAGCTTTTTGTCTTCATACATGGGGTATAAGCTGTGTGGTGCTGTCTACTGCCTTTCCCCTTACAGCTTCTGAAACACTCAACATATCCTGCTCTTTTCATACTGGACTCTGTAAACTGTTTCCAGCTCTTTCTGCAGAGGAGGGAGGTAGGGTCTCACTGTGTAGCACAGGCTGCCTCAATGCTGAGATGATAGATGGATACCACCATGGCTGACATGGGGTCTCGTACTCCTGGATCAAGTGACTCTCCTGCCTCAGCTTCTCCAGCAGCTGTGTGGGGCTCAATCCTATTTTATAGGTTAAGACTGCCATACACTCATAGTGCGCAGTTCTGCTACAAGTCCACTAGCTGTCTGGGGCACATTAGACTCCAGGAGAAGTTACAGAGATTGCACTTCTGACAGAGCCCACGAGAACCCCGAACACGGTGGCCCCACCACACTGCTGGATGGCAGTGCTGCTTCTCACCTCTCTCCCTCCCACAATGGAAAGCTCATCCAAATAGGCATCAATCAAGTGGTTTCTCACTCCGTCGGAAGACTGACTCTCGGGACTCAGGATCTCCTTCATCAGGACGCCCAGGAAAAGTTTGATTTGGCTAAACAACAACAAAAACAAACCAACCACAGTTTTTCTTTTATGTTTTTTTTTTTTTTTTAAAAGACATTATCACTAATACTTCCCTCCTCTCAAAGAACAGACAGAAGCAATCAGTTTACTGCTCACACAGCATAACGGCCAATATGAGGCCTAAAGGGAGGAACAGTTATTCTGATCAGTATCAATGTCCTCACAACTACGGGGCTCTAACTCCCCTGGCTCAGGATCTACCGTGCTTCTCATAGCACTACATCGTGGTGCGCATACATCAGTCAATGCATGTTTTATTATCAGAAATCTTAGGGGGCCCTATTATTCTTTAAGGATTTTTTTAGGGGTACTAAGGATTAAAACCAGGCCCTCATACCCATTAGGCAAGCTCTCTACCACCGAGTCACCTAGCAACTCTGACGTGTTTTCAATGTCACCACGTGTTCATGTAAACAATTTAACGTGTTAATGGAAATGATGTACTGACCTTTCTTCCCAGGCCTTCCGCTTGAGAACTTCAAAGGACTGCCTCAGGACCAGGTGGATCAGCTAAAGGTCGACATTTTTATAATAAAAGTAAAAGGTAATCATCATTTTGGCAGAATGAGGAGCCCAACCCTGGATCCCCAAAGCAAGACAACTTCCTTAGGTCTATTTAACCCCTGTATCAAAAACCTTAAGCCAGACAGCAGTATGTGCCTGTATCCCGAGAGTCAGAAACTAGCCCACACAGCACACAGAGACTCTGCCCCAACAACCCCCAGAAAACAAAATTCAAGCCGGGACCAGGACATTCTGCCACACCTTGCCTGGCTTTCCATTGTTTTCTTGATGGGCATAGAAGCTAGGTCTCAATAATGCCAACAAAGCACCTATTGTCTGACGACCTCACACCCATATCCTGGGGTGTTGTTTATTTTTTTCCCCCAACAGCCTTCCTTTCTCTTAACTCTAGTGCTTACAAAGTATTTAAAAACTATTCGCAGGCCAGGTGGTGGTGGTACACCCTTTAATCCCAGCATTCAGGAGGCTGAGGCAGGTGGGCCTGAGTTCAAGGCCAGCCTGGTCTATACAGAATGAGTTCAGGACAGCCAGGGCTACAGAGAAACCCTGTGAAAAGTCAAAACCTACCTACCTACCTACCAACCAACCAACCTTTTCCCCCAAACCCTCTGAGCAAACTCCACCTTGGCTTCCAGAAGAGAACAGAATGAATGCCAGGGATGATCTTACCATGCAGTACTTGTCCAGCTGTAGCTCGTCTGTTGTCTCTTCCCACTCTCGGTTCATGGTTTGCCAGAAGGTCTGAAGGAACAGGTGTTCTGTAGAACAAGAGGCTCTCAGTGCTTGGCTGCCACATGAGCACGCAGCAAGAAGGAAGCGACAGGAAACACACCTGGTTTTCTTTATACATCTACCTCAAGAATTCTTAGACAGATAGAGTTTGGCCAATAATTAAATATGTTAATAATTTCCTTACAGCTATATAAAGACATTATAATGCAATACTATCAGCATCTCTTAACAGAATGTTCCCCAAAGCACTGTTCTTTATCTGCCTCAAACCCACATTTCTATTAGAAACCCACTGGCCCTCTCTACTACAGCTGCATCTGACAACCAATCCTGTCTACTAATCCTGATGAGCATCCTTACAATTCATGTATAAACACAGATTTTTCAATGTTAAGTGTTGGCTGGGTGGGACACAGCACAAGCTATTTAAGTCACAGAACTATCACTTTTAAAATTGGAAGTCTTTCCTGATTTACTGATTTTTGAACATCTCCACTTCCTTCTACATAGGGTTTGGCTGCTACCCAAGGCTGGTCTGGAGCTCACAAACCTCCTGGCTCAGCCTTCTAAATGGACTACCATGTCCAGCACAACTTATTAACAAATAAAATCTTTACTATACAACAGATGTAGAAGCTCCATGTTGTAGGTCAGCTAGAACCGAGAGAACCAACCAGGGTTACTTGAGTGGGGAATGTCAAGCAGGACAAACTGCTGTCCAACTTCAGAAAACTCATTTTTTCTTTTAGGTAAACTCATCTATGCTTTATTACAGTGATTTATCAGCACGATGGCTCTCATCTTGGCCAGGTCACTGTACGTGCTGGCATAGATGTCACAGCTTTTAAATGTGAACATAACTTGCATTTGGAGACTTTATAGAGGATTTTGATCTCTGTTCTCTTAGCAGTTAACATTAAGCACAGCATCTCAAAGCACTAACAGCATGTCACATCCGTACAATACTAGCAGGAGGCTCCTATGTCACCAACATCCAGAAGACAAACTTCACGGGAGGGAAGCACTGACTAGGTTCCCCAGGCAAGCTACCAAACCTGCTAATGAGGAAGTCTGAAAGCCAGGAAAACAGCGGGACTTACGAGCCTCTGAGCTGTGAACAACATGGATGAGTTGGGAAATAATGTTCGCTAGCTCCTCCTGCAAAAGTGGGTTGGGGAGAAACATCGGTTATTAGTGGTCAGGCTGTGGTGGTGGGGCTTTGGGTGGCGGTACCCTCCTCCCTCTGTAGCAGGAAAGCCTGCGTCTCTTGTCCTAGGTCTGTGGCAGACACCCTGGGTTTTTTCAGATGTGAAACTCCAAACTTTATAGAGAACTACTAGGCTAATGTGATGTTTCTGGAAAAAATGCTAAAACTCTTGTGTTCAAGAAAGCATCTCTGGTTAAGAGTTTGAATAATTCCAGGAGAAGTAACCTTACCGCCAAATTCTTGGCCTTTTTTTTTTGGAGACAGTATTTCTCTACATAGCTCTGGCTGGCCTCGAACTCACAGAGATCCGCCTGCTTCTGACTGAGTCTTGGGGATTAAAGGTGTGCATTACCACACCTCATCCCTGGTCTTAACATATAAACTAAACAGAATCTATCATGAATATCAAATGTTGCAAGCAGAAGGCACAGGGTCACCTTTCTGGTGCTTGTACAATGGGGTTTTCACTTTGGCCTTCTAGACCTGGTCAGAGCAAGCTGGAATGTCAACAGACTCCTCTAGGTTGTGCTTTGGCAAAACTGAAGAGCAGTGGAGGCACAGTAGACTCCATTTGGCAGCACTAACGGGCTTGGGCTAGGAAGAAGCCTTCCATCTTCCAACTATCTGAAGATGAGCGCCCTTACCGGTCCTCCTGTGCCCAGAGTTCCTTATTCATCTTGAATGAACTCCAAGACTTGAAAATGATGTTCCTTTTTGTTGGTTCTCTTCCTCCCCCCACTAAAGCTGCTTGTTGCTACTTCTGAATATAATCTTACAATATTTTGCCCTGCTATCCCACTCAAAATATGTTCAGTAGAATCAACAGAGTGAACTGAGACAAGTCACTACATGTCCTGAGAAAAGCAGCACGGCTTCATACACAAGGCAAGCGCTGCCCAGCAGGACTCTACACTGGGGCTTGTGTGTTGTGACCCGTACTCTCCTGCTACTGAGGAGGGTCTAGTTCCAGACATTAGAACAAACCTCTTCTATGGCTGAACTGGTGGCAGACTGAGTGGGCAGGGCTCGACTGTGTATTCTAGTCACCAGTGCAGCCCACGGCACTTTAGCCACAGGGCCTGGCTGCTCATTTGGGCACCAGGCCCTCCAGGCCCCCTGCTGTGCTTCTGCTCATGCGTTGACAGAAGAGAAAGCAGAAACATTAAAAACGTGTAACACCTACCACGGAAGCTATAGAATGATGAGAGCAATAGGGAATTTATGACTTAGGTGTTCGATATGTCTGAAAGCACAGCCTAAGTGCCTGCTGCTCCTTCCTGAGGGGACAAGGGCGGAGACAATGGCTCCTTGAAGCATTTACTTCCATCTGTCTGGGGATGGCAGCAGACTGGCAGAGCGTCTCTTATCCACTGTGGCAAAGGTCCAGGAACATGACGAGGGGCTGCGTTACCTGCAGAAGGGGTTCGTCCTGAACCCACATGCAGTAGAAGAGTCCTCTCCATATTTTTAGGAGTTCATCCTGACTGAAACCTCCTGCGGGAGAAAATGGCACATCCACCTTAGAGTCGACTCGTTTCTTAATATTTAGAGATGCCGTGCCAGCAGCAAAACCACCACACACACCCCCGTCCTCTGCGCATCTTTCCCTAGCCCTGAACTTCCAGGCATGCCATGTCTCACTAGTTCACATACCTATATACTTGGCGTCCTGTAAGAATTTCTCAGGTAAAAGGGGCGGTGAACAGAAAAGCTGGAAGAAGGGGGCTGGAGAGATGGCTCAGAGGTTAAGAGCATTGCCTGCTCTTCCAAAGGTCCTGAGTTCAATTCCCAGCAACCACATGGTGGCTCACAACCAGCGGTAATGGGGTCTGGTGCCCTCTTCTGGCCTGCAGGCATACACACAGACAGAATATTGTATACATAATAAATAAATAAATAAATAAAAAGAAAAAAAAAAGAAGCTGGAAGAAGCAAAGCCCTGGTTTGGTCAAGTCTTCCACTCTAAATATTTACTTTCAAAATTTAACCTAGGAGTTTAGTTGGTAAAAACAGGTATTGATTTTTACAGTACTAAAGAGGGATGAAAAAACAATATCTGATTCCTTTTAAAACTCAAAAGACGCAGTAAGTATCTGAAGTGAAGCAGTCTTAGTTGAGAGTTGCCCTCGAAGATGCTTTCTTCTTGGTGGAAAGTCTTTCTGAGGTGGCGGTCCTGCACATCACTTGTCAGATAAGCACTCTATCCCTAGGTAAGCCTCCTTGGGTCCCTCCTCCTCTGCTATTTTATTTTAAGACAGGGCTCTTCTATGAGTCCAGGCTGGCCAGCCTGAAACTTACAATTCTGCCTCAGTCTCCCAAGTTCTGGAATCACAGGCATCACTACTATAACTGACCATGGAGAATCTTTTTTCTGGCTGGCCTAGAACTCACTGAGATCTGCCTGCCTCTGCTTCCTGAGTTTGGGGATTAAAAGTGAGTGCCACCACTCCTGGCTGGGGACATTTTTTAAATCTTTACCTAATCTAGTTCCTGACAACAGGTTAGGTTTAGCTATTTTAAAAAGAATGACACGAATACAAAAGCTTCACAGGGAATACCATTGAGTTTTGAAATGAGAATGTCCACCAGCAACTCTCTCCACAAAATGAACACAGTACACGAACACGTCCCCATTCTGGATGGGGAGAGTATCATCATCTTCCAGATCACACCACAGTCAAAACACATACACCTCCTTCTAACTTTCAGGCGGAGAACCTTAACTCCTCACTTCCACAATACCTGTAGTATTCTAGCCGCCGCCAACCATAAATCCAGTCATTTTATGTCATTAAAAAGGAAACTGGGGCTGGGGAAATAAACGGCTTGGCAGGTAAAGGCTCTTGCCACACAAACCTCAGGGCGAGTTCTAGCTTTTGAACCTACATAAAAATGGGAGGAGAGAACTGACCCCATAAAGTTGTTTTCTCACCTCCAAATGTGTGCTGTAACACATCTATCTCCCGTATACACACTCACGCATGCGCGCGCGCACGCGCGCGCGCACACACACACACACTACTAATATTAACAAAAAAAGAGAAAGCAATGTCACAAATGAAACTGCCACAGGGTTGATTTGAAGATGCACCATGGCTTTAGTAAGCGTGAACCGTTCAAGGCTGAGAACCGCTAAGACAGGCAGGGACTGCCGGTTTGATTCCCTGCTGTATCCCCCTAGGCCGAGACTCGTTATATACAACAATACATGGTGTTTCACAAATGTTTGCTGCCTTTATGAATGACTGCACCAGGACACACGAGCCACCATGAACTAAAACACAGTGACCATTTCACGACAGCAAAGACCACAGAGCCTATCTATTCATGCTGCTAACAGACAGCTATGTGTTTCAGAAAGACTAAAATGTCAGATTGCCCAGCAAGATGCATGGCTGCAAAACAAACTGAGTTTGTCAACAAGATGCAAATGTGAGGTAACTCGTGCTTCTATCATGATGGGGCACAGCAGATGCTTTGGTTTTCTTGTCCCGTGACTATGAAAACATCCATTCTGCAAATTTTATTTATTTTCACGCACATACATATAGGCCAGAAGTCAATGTTGGGTATTTTCCTCAACAGCTCTCCAACTAATTTTCTGAGACAGGTTATCTCATTGAACCTTTAATTCACCAATTTGGCTAGACCATCTGGTCATCAAGGCCCCACCAGGACTTTACCTGGCTATATGGATGCCGAACACCTGAACTCAGGTGCTCGGGGGCTTGTGGCAAGCACATTACTGATAGAGCACTGTTCCTGGCCCCTGCAGCTGTTTTTAGTTTATTTTAGACATATGTGTATTTTACTTGCATCTGTGTATACCATGTGCTTCTGTAGTGACTGCAGAGGTTAGAAGAGGGTGATAGATGCCCTGGAGCTGGAGTTAGAGACAGTCATGAGTCACCACAGGGGTGGTGGGAACTGAACTCGGGTTCCCTGCAAGAAAACAAGTGTTCTAACCTGCTGAGCCATTTTCCCAGCCCCTCTACAATTATTATTATTATTTTCTTGAAGGCATTCTATATTCCACAAACTAGCCATGATGATGAATAGGGGACCAAGATAAGCAAATCTGGGGGGGGGGGGGTGCTAACCAGGAAGGAACCTGGGGTACTGGTGTGAGCCAACTGGCTTCAGGTCCTTGTGACATCTTAGTATTCCAAGACATCCTTAGTATTCCCGGGTCTGTCCCCAAAGGGGTCTGAGAAGCATGCTCTCTGGCTACCCGAGGTCCAGAGGTAGTGTTTGCCTCTGTCTCCTGAAGAACCTCCTAAGGCTCCAAGTGCTTTTACCTATGGCCAAGAAAACAAATGGAAGCTTATACTGCTGGAAGGAAAATGATAAAAGCCATGGAATTCAGAAACAAAGTAATCTGTACACAGCTGAGGCAGGACCACAAGGAGTTCAAGGTTACTCTCAGTTACAAAGCTAATAAAGACCAACCCTGGCTACAAGAAATTCTATCTCAAAACAAATAAATAGCACCCCCCGCCCCATGTATCTAAGCACTACATATTTTATAAAGGGACACGTGTTTTATAACTCTAGGGGTAACCAGGAGGTGGAGAGGTACTAAAGGGGGATTTCTCAGAAATGATGCTGCCAGGAGAGAAGGGGTGGAGTTCTTTGCAGAAATGCAAAGGAGTGGAGGAGAGCAATTGTTTGGTATCCTCAGCCTCCGAGGGTTTTATTGATTACTAAGGACTTAGAACAGCAGGTGAGGACACCCTGACTGACAGACTGTGACCTACAAGGAGGTGCTTTAGGAAAGTGACCTGGGCTAGTTTGTGAAGGACAGATTAAAGAGGCACAAGAGAAGCCTGGCTTGGTGGCGCCTGCCTTTATTCCCAGCATTTAAGAGGACTCCCAGCACGCAGATCTCTGGAAGTTCAAAGCCAGCCTGGTTTCCAGGACAGTCAGGGCTGATACACAGAGAGACTGTCTTGAAGAACAAAAACAAGCAAAAGGCACAAAGGAGTGAAGGAGACCAGTTAGGGAACAGGCAGGAAAGACATCTGGGTAAGGTAAGGGAAGCTCTGGTTAAGCAGGATACTGAGTAGGCAGGACAAAGGGATGTGTGTGGGTGGATGTGGAGGATGAAGAGAGCCCATGGCAATGTGGTATGTTTGTGTGGGGGGAAAATAAGGTAGTATGAGCCATAGGGAAGGAGCAGCGGCAGAGAATAGGTATTTTGGGGGAGCAGGAGTCATTCCCATTTTTGACACTGAGGCACTCATGGGACAGCCAGGTGAAGGATCAGGCTAGTAGCACTAATCTGAGGGGAGGGTAGCTAAAGCACACCTGGGCTACCAAGTTAGGTTTAGGAATTACCAGCACATGCATCTAGGGAACTTATTATAAACATGGGAGTAAACTGAATTCCTGGGGGCAATCCTTAACAAAAGGCATTGCAGCCTTTTGTCTACCTGAGTCTGACCTCTGGAATCAGGGTAGAAGAGAGACAGCTTTCAAAACCTAACTTCCAAAAGTGCACACATGTAATAATTTAAAAAAATCAAATTATTTTAGTTTTTATTTCTCTATCAGGCTCTCACCAAAGTTTCTCTTTCTTTTTTGGAGATAAGATCTTGCTTGTCCTGTGGCCCTGGCTGCCTTCAGCCTTCCAAGTGCTGAAATTAATGGTGTAAGCTAGCACATGGGAGAAGAGTTCAATTAAAAAACTTCTGAAGATTTATTTTAAGTGGATGAGTGTTTTGCCTGCCTCTACGTGTGTGCACCACGTGCATGCCTGGTGTCAGCCGAGGTCAGAAGGGGGCGAGTCCTCTTCAGGAACTGGTTATGAGCTGCCATGTGGGTACTGGGTCTCAAACCGCTGAGCCATTTTTCAATTTTAGGCAGATTTAGCAACACGTAGTTTAAACTTTAGTCAACTGTCTGCAATCTGAAACCTCCACAGCACGCTGCAGTCAGTCCAGACCTAAGTGTTCACTCAAAGAGTTAAAAAAACCTACTCAAGATCACTTAAGGAAAATCTTGCGTTTTGCTCCACGGCAGTTAAAATCCGAGAAAGCCAGTAACCTGGCCACACCGCCTCCAGGCTCAACTTCATCTGGACACGCCCTGCGCGCCAACTTCTGATTTCTCTGGCCCAGGGCACCCTTAGCTCTTAACTTGCGTCGGCCTGGCTGACTTCCTCCTGTCAAAAATCTCACAGAACACAGGAGGCTTCGTTTAGGGAGACTTCCTCTTGTACTTTTCCACACCTACTAGTATACATTCCCGCATTCACACATGCCCTACTGCCTCGGGTCCTGCCAGAGTTCCTCCGGGGCTGGAATGCAGCCTCAACTCTCTCCCGCACACCAGCGCCTGCAGGCACTATCCAAGAGAAGGAAACAAGAAACGCAAACGGGCCTCGGCGAGCTGGGCCAGGGCTGAGCGTGGAGCTGGAGCTCCGCCGCACAGCCCGCAGCAGCAGCTCCCGCACCCACAAGAGCGACCCTCGCCGAGCGCAGAGACGCGGACCCCGGCCCGCACCTGTGTCGCTCTGCGTCCTCGCGCTGAGATACTGCCGCAGCTTCCTCACTGCGCGGTCGCGGACACCCTTCTCGCTGGAGGCCAGCCGCTGGGCGAACTGGAGCTGGGCCGACTGCATGGCGGGAGCCATCGCACAAGCTCCTGCATCCCCAGGCTGAGCGCGTGCAGCTCGCCACCGAGCAGCCTGTATCGCGCCTGCGCACGGGCGAAACGGCGCGCGGGTGATGGCGTAACAGACGCGCCGCCGTATCTCGCCTGGGGAGCCCGCGTGGCCGTGGCGCCTGTAAAAGCTGCGGGCGCGCTTCCTGAGTACGTCCTGTGGGTGGTCCAAGTCATGGTGGTTGGCTTCAAGATTAGCTGGGGTCACGTCTCCTCCAGGAAGACGCCTACGGCTGGTTTTGACGCAGTCTAGAGTTTAAGCACAGCTAACAAAGCTCTGTCGGGGGTTGACGTTCCCGCGACCTCCCCACACGCTGTGTCTGCAGAACTCGGCGGGCTTTCCTGGACAGAATTGAGACCCAGAAGGAACAGTCATCCGGGCAGCCCCGGCCTGACGACAGCACAGGAGCTGTGCTCCCCCCGCCTCCACTTCCCCCAGTGTAACATAGTGCCTAGAGTCTGATGCAGGCGCAGCATTCTAGAGTGAACGATCCGCCCCATCAATGTCCTGCGACAAATGCAGAGGTGACGAGACCTTTGCAATGTTCTAGGGCAGGCTCGGGTTTAGCGAGGAGGGAAAAACCCATCCCTGCAGCATCAAGGGCACGTCCAGGAGTGTGGTGTGGAGAGAGCGATCCATTCCTGGGACAGAGTCAGGGGTGTGTAGTGGCAAGACAGCAAGCCTTCCTGAAGCGTCCTGGGACAGGTGTAGGCTTGTTGAATGGGGAGTTAGCAAACCCGTACCCACAGCCTCTGGGTCAGGTGAAGGGATGTCCCCCCCACATTAGAGGAAGATGACCTGTCCTGGCGGCATGCAGGGGAAGATTTTGGTATCTAACGGGGAGGGAACTTGGCCCTGTTCTTAAGTCCTCCTGCGTGCAAAACACACAGTTCTGAGCCGTGGTGTCTTAGGGTTTCTACTGCTACAGTGAAACAAAAAGCAAGTCCTGACCAAAAAGCAAGTTAGGGAGGAAAGAATTTATCTGGCTTACACTTCCATATCACTGTTCATCATCGAAGGAAGTGAGCACAGGAACTGAAGCAGGCCAGGAACCTGGAGGCAGGAGCTGATGCAAAGGTCGTGGAGGGAGCTGCTTACTGGCTTGCTCCTCATAGCTTGTTCAGGCTGTTTTCTTAAAGTACACTGGACCACCAGCCCATGGATGGCAACGCACACCATAAGCATCAACCACTAATTAAGAAAAGGCCTTATAGCCAGGTGGTGGCAGAGGCAGGCTGATTTCTGTCAGACAGATCTGTGAGTTCAAGGCCAACCTGGTCAACAGACCAAGTTCCAGGGTAAGGAGCCAGAGCTACACAGAGAAACCCCATTTTGAAAATAACCACCCCACCCTCACCTTATATGCCTGCCTACAACCTGATCTTATGAAGACGTTTTCTTTTTTAAAATATTTATTTATTTATTTTGTATACAATATTCTGTCTGTGTGTATGCCTGCAAGGCAGAAGAGGGCACCAAACCCCACTACAGATGGTTGTGAGCCACCAAGTAGTTGCTGGGAATTGAACTCAGAACCTTTGGAAGAGCAGGCAATGCTCTTAACCACTGAGCCATCTCTCCAGCCCCTGGAGATGTTTTCTTAATTTCTTTTTTTATTATTTTAATTTTTAATTTATTTATTTCGGATTTTCAAGACAGGGTTTATCTGTGCGGCCCTCGCTATTTGTTCTGGAACTCGTTCTGTAGACCAGGCTGGCCTCGAACCTGGAAGTCCACCTGCCTCTGTCTCCCAAGTGCTGCGTGATTAAATGCAACCCCCCCCCCAGAGATATTTTCTTTATTGAGGTTTCCTCCTCTCAGATGACTTTAGCTTGTGTCAAGTTGACATAAAGCCACCTGGCACCAGCACAAGTGGGGACATACTAATCCCACAAGAAAGAACTCGTCCCTCTTGCCCCTCCCCCAGACTTTCATTGCGGCTTTGGAGCCTATCCTGAAACTAGCTCTGTAGACCAGGCTGGCCTCAAACTCACAGAGATCCGCCTGCCTCTGCCTTCCGAGTGCTGGGATTAAAGGAATGCACCACTACTGCTGGCTTAGAAGTCTTTTTTTTTAATTATTATTATTTTTTTATTTTACATACCCATACCCACCAGTTTCCCCTCCCTCCTCTCCTTCCGTTCCCTCCCCCCACCTCCCTTCTATTCCCCCCTCCATTCCCTGTCCCCTTCCTTCTGTCCCCCCCTCCACCACCTCCATTCCTCCATCTCCATTCAAGAAAAAAAGTCTTAACAGCTGTGGTAACAACTTTAGGGACATTCAAAACCCTAGATTATCAAACACATTCTGTAGATTCATTAGCACCTTAAGGGAATTATTAGATTAGGATACTCTTTCGAACTTTGGTTATTGAGTTTTGCCCCCCCCCCCATGTAGCACAGGCTAGACTCCCCCTTACTTTGTAGCAAGGCTAGTTTTGGACTCCCTCTATCACCCAAGTGCTGGGACTACAGGTGTGTACCATGACACCCCGCTTGAGTCTTTGGTTATTTCGTATCTCAGTTACCTGGCCAAAATAGTTCAAAATACATCTCTCAATACAGAAGTGCTTTGGGCCAAGGGGCGATGTTCTGTTGGCAACTGCACGGTTTCTCACCAAGAGGATGAGGTTTTGGCTGTAGTATCCTCTCCCTGAACAGGAAAGGATGGATTCTGTATATTTTGACACCCAGACCTCATTTTGCAGGTGCCAAATTTGAACGGAAGCGGAAGAGCTTCAATAGAGTCGGGTCAACCTTATCCCTGGACCCGGAGACCGGAAACCAAGAGTGCGACGCGAACTTGGCGAAATTTGAACCTCGCGGCTTTCCGTCGGGTCCCAGCAGCTCTCCGTTCCCGCGCTTTCTAGCGTGTACGAGAGCTTCACGCAGGCGCAAAGAGCAGAGGCCTTGACCATGGCCACGAGTGGAGTGGTCGAGGCGTCCGATATTGATGAAGCCTGCCGGGTCAGTGGGATGGTTCGGGGTCCGGCAAGTGGAAGCTGCTGACACTCGCTCCCTTCAGGGCCAGGCCCTGTGGCTGTGAGGCAGCTCAGGGCAGGCGGCGCCAGGGCGAACCAGGGCGGGCGACTCGAGGCGCGCCTCCTGAGCCCTCTGAAGGCCTCAAGTCTAGTTAAGAAGTGGCGGTCAGGGTCTCAGGCCGTGAGTTTTTGGGAGAACCAGGGCTGTGTACTCAGTCATGGGGCCCTGCCCATGGTGACTCAGCGAAGAGAGGGCCACGGCGGACGCCCGACGCCTCTCCTCTGTGACGGCCTTGGGTGGTGGCCGTGAATGTTAGGGGGTTAGGGGTCGCAGAGGCCGTGTGCAGCCCGCAGGGATGCCATCCCCGGGGCGGCTCAGCCTTGGACACGTACATTGTAGGTGCTTTCTTTGGCTTTTAGGCTTGTGTACACGGTTTATCCCCTCCAGTATTTACACGCGCTCTTCCACTGTGTTCTTACTGAAACAGAGTTGATACGCTTGCCGCTCTAGGCTGGCTGCTAACGCTTGGGTAAAATCATCTTTCAGCCTCAGTTTCTTTCTTTCTTTTTTTAAATATTTATTATGTATACAATATTCTGTCTGTGTGTATGCCTGCAGGCCAGAAGAGGGCACCAGACCTCATTACAGATGGTTGTGAGCCACCATGTGGTTGCTGGGAATTGAACTCAGGACCTTTGGAAGAGCAGGCAATGCTCTTAACCACTGAGCCATCTCTCCAGCCCCAGCCTCAGTTTCTTGAAAAGCTAAGCATATAGGTGTACATCACCACCCTTGTCTCTCTGTATATAAAACCCGTGTGTACCCACATACACATACGCAGCACACCTATATCCAGACACACACACACACACACCCCTATATCCAGACGTGTAATAGAAGGTGCATCAGGTGCCGGGAATGGTGGAATAGGCTTGTAACCCCATTACTAGGGAGGCAGAGGCAAGCACATTGTTTCAAAGTTAAGGCCAGCATAGTCTACAAAATTCCAGAACAGTCAGGGATACGTAATGAGACCACCCCCCCCCCCAAAAAAAAATTGAACACACATGTGCACACACACAACAGTACATATGTAGACATGCTTGTGAGGTAATTAGGAATGTAAGAGGCTTGAAAGAAAAGGAAGCAGGTTGCCTTGGGTGCCAGTTCTGGTCACCTGAAGAGAGATATTGTAATGTTAAGATGTACTTGTTCTTCTTAGTGCCTAGAACCCAAAGAAGAATATGTGAAAGTCAGAAGGAAGGACCTGGAACAGCTGACGACCGAAGTGATGCAGATGCGGGACTTCTTACCCAGACTGCTCAACGTGGAGTTAACGGAAAGTTTGCAGAGCTTGAAGAGTGTAGAAAAAAGTGAGTCCTACCTCATGTATGTTGCTTGTCTACATGTATGTGGGCAAGAGAGCCAGTTTCCAGTGCTGAGCTAAGTTCAGGTCGCTAGGACTTCTTGTCCATTCAGACTTTTGGCGTTTGAGCAGTATATCAAATATGAGTCCAGGACCCTGTTACATTTCTCGGAGGTATTTAGAGATCAAGTCAGCACGTTCCCGACTGGGACTAAATTGCAATTAAATCTGTCTTTGGTGGTTACAGCTAATTTTCCACGTCACATTTGGTAACTTGATCAAAGTTGGATCACAGATGTTTGCTTGTGTTCCTGACCTTCCCATCTATCTCTGGTGATGTCCTCTCGGTCTCCTTTGTCCCTTTACCTTTCTTGAGAGCCTTTAGACAGTGCAGGCGCTTGAGGCTCAGCCTTGCCCACTTTCACCGTAGACTCCAAGGCAGTGTGATGCTCACACATAGCTTTAGTTACCGTTGGATGCTGGTGGCTGCTGGATGCATCTGTGTCTCCAGCGTCTGCCTTGCCCCTGCTTGTCATCTTTCCCCACTTGTTTTGTTACCATTCAGACTCTGAATGTCTGTCCTGACCTAGTCAGGAACAGATCTGAATTTGACAAGATACACATGATCATATGGCAGAGGAATTGGGAGGCCCCTATCAGACCTTGGGGGCAGGGTTTGAATTTGGTGGTTTGGAAATGAAGCAGTGTTTTTGTTAGAGATGGCTTCACTATATATCCTGGGCTATCCTTGAATTCTCTTTGGAGCCCAGGCTGGCCTCAAACTGTAGATATTCTTGTTTCTGTCTAGGTGTTCAAACAGTGTTTTGACAGCTCATGGCAAGGTGGAACTGTGTGTAAAGAGCCAACTAGAGTTTGAATGTGAAGTGGACCCAGGTCTTGTTTGCCTGTAAACATTGAAGTTCAAATAAATGGAAAACACTGTTTATACATACCTTACCCACACCTCTGAGGCTAGTGGGGAGTTAGGCTGTTTCTGTGTCACTGGAACTCTTCAGGGCAGGTCATGGTTTTTTCTTTCTGAAGGGAGTTTTCAATATAAATTTGATGAATAAGAAGTGAGCAGTCACTCCAAGAAAGGAGCACTGTGACACTTTGCAGTTAATGGGGGAGACACTGTTTTCTGTTTACTTGGCAGCTGGCTCTGTCTGTGCCCGCTGTTCCTGCCTGACAAATGGCAGGCCATATTTTCACTTAGCAATCTCTACTTGACATATGTTTCCCTTGTGTTTTTTCTCATTGGCCTGCCTTGGTCTTCTCAGAGAATAGCCCTAGATCAGACCCTTGGGGTTCTCCCTTTCTGCAGCGAGTTCTGTACGTTCTTCTTGGGAGATGTGCTGTGACAATATTAGGCTGTCTCCATCTCTCCTGCTCACGTGGGATCCTTGTACTTTGCCTTCTCTAGGCAGTGTCTGCTATTCCCAGTCTGGGTCATTTTTGTCTGAGTTTATTAAATAGCTGCTCTTTGTCCTTAGGATAAAGACCAACTAGCAAACTGCTGCTACCCTGGGACCTAAACAGATCTTACAATAGCTGTGAAGCCGTTGTATTGCTGGTTAAGCCTCATCCAGAGTGGCTATGTGCTCTGAATGCCCAGACATGAGCTCTATGTTAGGCATGGCCCCTGTGCTTTTCCTCCTGGGAGGTCACTATAAAATTTCAATTTAGGCTTACCCTGACTACCTTCGCTTTTCTGACTGAGGTGTGGTTGAAGAGACGGCCTTCTAGAGCACCCTTTACCTAGTTTTCTCTCTCAAATTCTCTTTTTCCCTCCTTCCCTCCCTCCCTCCTTTCCTCCCTCCCTCCCACTCTTCTCCCTCCCTCCCTTCCTCCCTCCCTTCCTCCCTCCCTTCCTTCCTTATTTCTTTTTTTGAGACAGGGTTTCACTTGGGGTAGCCCTCACCAGCCTGGGATTCTTTATGTAGTTCAGGCTGGCCTTTCACTCACAGAGATCCACCTGCCTTCCTGAGTGCCTGAGTTGATGAGATTAGTATCAAATAGTATGGGAAACCTGGTTCTGAGCTATCGGGATAGTTGCCTTTGAGAGCTGGGTAGGTAAGTAGTGGTTTGAAAAGCTACTGATCAGTGTCTTGCCTAAGCATCTTTGAAGAATCAACACTGAAGAAAAGACAGTTTCTTTTTTAAAAAAATCATGGCCGGGTGGTGGCGGCGCACACCTTTAATTCCAGCACTTGGGAGGGAGAGGCAGGAGGATCTCTGAGTTCGAGGCCAGCCTGGTCTACAAGAGCTAGTTCTAGGACAGGCACCAAAGCTACAGAGAAACCCTGTCTTGAAAAAACCCAAATAAATAAATAAATAAATAAATAAAATAATGAATTTATGTATGTGAGTTTTTTGCCTGCATGCATGTGTGTATATCGTATGTGCCATGCTTGAGGAACTTAGAAGAGGATGTTACTGCAGTTACAGACAGTTGTGAATTGCCATAAGGGTGTTGGGAATTGAACCCAGATCCTTTGAAAGAGCAGCTAGTGCTCTTAACCTCTGAATCAACTTTCTCTCTCTCCCAAAGCACAGATTCTTTTCTTTAGAAGGAAAAAAAAGATATGTGAAAGTCACAAATGGGAATAAGAATCAGTTGTGACTTAGCAGCTGGTTTTCCTGCCTTTGAAAGACTCGAGTATAGCACAAGTAAAGATGGTAAATATGGGGTGTTTATAGAGGATGGGCGGGAGTGTAGCTGAGGTGAGAGGCACTTGGAGCTTCTAAATGGACCGATACCAAGATGCTGATCATGTGATGCTTTCAGGGGGAATGGTTTGAATTAGAGTATGAGTTTGAAAGGTTGGTTGGGTGGAGGGACCAACTGAGAGTGTTCCTTGAGGCAAGTCCCAGGTTCCATTGTACTCTGTGTGGATGGGATAGGAAGAGCATGAGAAAACAGGATGGGCTCTGGTGATGAAGTGAAGGCACAGCCTTCTGAGTTAGGATCAGGAGTGATGGGAATGAGGAGGGCAGGACATCTGTGTCCTCCATGGTGACCAGCACTTCATTATGTGTCCTGGGACTATAAGGCCACACTAAGGACATCTAAGGACAGTAGAGCACTTGCCTGGTTACATACAGGGTTCAGAGTAAGATCCCTAGGACTATGCTACCCACCCCTAAAAGTCTCTTAGGACAGTACTTCTCAACCTCCCTAATGCTGCGACCCTTTAATACAGTTCCTCATGTTGTGATAATCCCCAACCATAAAGTTATTTTCAGTGCCACTTCATAACTGTAATTTTGCTACTGCTGTGAGTCATAATGTAAATATCTGTTTTCTTTTTTTATATTTATTTATTATGTATACAATATTCTGTCTGCGTGTATGTCTACAGCCCAGAAGAGGGCACCAGACCTCATTACAGATGGTTATTAGCCACCATGTGGTTGCCGGGAATTGAACTCAGGACCTTTGGAAGAACAGGCAATGCTCTTAACCACTGAGCCATCTCTCCAGCCCAATATCTATGTTTTCTGATGGTTTTAGGTGATCCCCGTGAAAGGATTGTTCAACCCCCAAAGGGGTAGCAACCCACAGGTTGAGACCTGCTGTCCTAGCATGTGGCAAATTTGAGATGACTTAATCCTTCTAAAGGGCTTGTTTGGTACCTGCATTGTAGGAATCTTGAAACTCCTTGAGCTCCTGGTGTAATGGAGAGAGCATTCTGGCGGATTCTCAGCCCAGCAGCTTCAGTTGTGACTAAGGCGCCATCACAAAGTGAACTTGGAATAGCCTTGACTTGGGGTTTGCCAAATTGGAAAGCGCATAAATATAAAATACTCCCATGAAAACATTATCAGCACTCTTGAGTATTGAGCATTGGAGGAACATTCTTGTATAGAAAGTCCTGCGCTGCTGTTTATCATGTTGAGATCGCAACTGAGAGTGAGCTAGGGAACGAGAACACTGTGGGGCTTTCAGTAACCATGTCAGACCATCCAGACAATAGGTCAGAGTCCATGACTACAATAGTCTGTAGTTTTCTGTCAGGTGCCCTCAGTTGTCTTTGGGTAGTACTGTAAAGGGTTGCCTGCTGACACCTGGGTCCTGGGCAGAACCAGCGTCAAGGAGCAGAGCCTTAGGAGGATAGGGAGCTTGTTTGGCAGTTCTAGCAGGGGAGCTACTTATATGTCCTTGACAGAAGAATGGTCCTTCTTAATCAGGTAAGGTTGTCCTCTTCAACTGGATGTTCGGTTTAGGAAGGGATGCACACGGACTGTTGAGGAAGGAGATTCCTGCCTAATGAGACAGACAACCCTTATGAAGAGTGGGACAAAATGCCAAAGCCACATTGCCCTTACATCCAAGAGTCTATTGATTCGAAATGGGACAGATGATTGGGGTTTTTAAATACTACTAGAACAGCTTGTGAGCTTGGGCTCTCGGTTTGTGAGGGCTCTCTACTGGTTACTTGAAGGAATCCACAAGTACATAAGATGGTTGTAATCCTAGGGAACAAGGATAATGAAAAAGAAACATAAACAATGACAGTGTAAGGGGAAGTATGTCACAGGTGCCACATAACCACAGAAAGCCACCAGACTTCCAAGGGGGATAGGGTGGGGCAAGTCAAAGGCTGCTTATGAAGGAGTAGACTTAGAAGACAGTTAAAGGCATCCTAGAAGTAGTTTATTAAAGAGAGATTGTACAGCGATCGCCTACATGGCCTTGTAGGCGAATGGATTTCAGTTTAGCATGTTGGAAAATGTAGGTCATGCTTGTGCAGTCGGCCCTCTCTTTAGCTGTGGATTGACTAAAGTGGTGTTCAGCAGGTGAGTTACATGGTGGACCTTCTGTGGACCACTGTATTCTTCTGTGAACCTGAGATATTTAACAGCTGCCCTTTGGTTGGGAGTGACCCAGAAATGAGTCTTTAGTTTGAGAGTCCTTGAGCCACTGTAACCGCTTATTTCTGGGAACCTTGTAGGAAGCAGAATTAGTCATTCTGGGGATGGTCGTTTGCTTTGGAAAACCATGTGAGTGGGAATGCCTACAAAGCACTGACAATTGATGGGACCCTGGCAAGTTGCAGAAGTATCTGTCAGGCGTTTCCCCAGGTCCTTAGCCTGGGACTTTGAAGAAAGGTTTTCACAGAGGTAAAATGAGGCCTGTTGGGCCTTATCCAATATGACATTCTTGTCAGGAGAATTTTGAACACAGTTGTGGAGTGAGGTCTGTGTGAAAATATAGGGAGGCTAGAAAGGGAAGACTGCGTCCCTCATCAGGGAATGCTGGGCAGAAAGAGGCAAGGAACAATTAATGCCGAGGTTTCACAGGGAGCTTGGGCCTGTCAACACCTGGACTTTTGGCTTGGAAGTCCTCAACCTTGGGAGATATACATTTCGGCTGTTCTAAGCTACCCAACTCATACTTTATTCCATATGCTAGGAAGTGAGTATACCACCCAAATCTCAGCTCAAAGTAAAGATGGAGCATGTCAGTGTTGCACCCACTTTTTTTCTGAACATGCCAGAGTGAAGGAAGGAAAAAGGTGATGTTATTTAAAGTATTTTTGTTTTCAGACAGCTGTTCACATGAGTGGAAAGCAACTGACAACTTGTTATAAACATGCCGGGATCTCAGGGTAATTTTAACTCTTTTATCTATGCTCCGGAAACCCTGCTTTTCACTGACAACTCTCCTCCCTCTCTCCGAACAGTCATTCTCCTGTTAGTTACCAAAATGGTTGAAGTTAGGTCCTGGTAGTACAGGCACTTGGGGCCTGACAATTGCATGCCGTTGAGGTAGGTTGCCAGCAATGCTCTCATCTGGCCACAAGGCGGCGGCCTGACATAACTGATACCCCTGGTGTGCCATAGTCTTGTGAGCAAGGGCTTAGAATTTTCTGGGGTTCCATATTGTCACAAAGGCCTTGTTAAGCCTGTAGAAAGTTCACATAAAACTACACAGAGAAGACTTTACCATAGTGAAAGCATTGAGTGGTTAAAATTAATTCCTATATATTTTTACGTGACAAGATTTGTAGAGATTTAATTACCCTCTTTCTTTCGGGTGTGTTCAAGTAGCATAGTTCAATAATAGAAGCAGACTTTAAGAATTAGCTGCAAAGAGAAAAATATAAACTATTGATAATTTATTATTTAGTTTCTGTCTAGTTATGTTTTTCATAGTCATAGGTATGTATTTTATAGTTACATGAATGTACATAGTCATATAATGTACATATGTGTAAGTAACATTCAGCATGGTTACATGTTTAGTAATGTTATTTTTAAGGCATAAAGCTGGCTCACTGGTTTCTTGGATGGTCTTGATTATTGGACAAAGTAGAGTTCATGTAGTATGACATATCTGAAAAGTCAGAGAAGAAAGCTCTGACATGGAGAGAATAAATAGCCCAGTGCAGCTTGCATGCTTCTAGGAAATATGAGTGGGAGCTTGCCAGCCCAGTTTCACAATCTCCAACTTGTCTTTGACCTTTGGGTCTAGTCTTCCTTCTTGGACAAGGTCTCAAGGAAATGTAGACACTCTCCTTATTCCTTTCTCCAGAACAGTTGGGATGCCAAGCAGCTCTAGGCAATCCCTGGATTTTTTTGTGTAAGTGTTCCCTTGCCTTCTCTGACCTCAGGAACACAAAGCTCTCCCCCTTCCTTTGCCTGCACTTCATTGAGCATCCTTGATGGTGGAGAATGTGTGGTCTTCCATATGTTCTTAGAGGTGTGCTCCCTTACCCAGTCCCATTTCCCTCCATTCATACTCTGTCATTGCTGTAGCTAAGCTTTCTGACCCACTGTGTTCCTTTCCTGTTGCTGGTGATGAGAGCTAAGACTGTTGACTTGAAGTAGTTGGTTTTAAAGTGCGATTTCCATAGTCTCACCAGGAACCTTGTTAAAAATGTAACTTCTTTGGGCTGTAGAGATGGTTCAGTGGTTGAGAATACTTGCTGCTTTTGCAGAGGACTAGATGCCTGGTAGCCCACAACTGTTTGTAACTCAGGTTCCAGGGGATCTGACACCCTCTTCTGTCCTCCATTGGCCTCAGACATGCACATGGTACAGATACATACATACATACACACACAGTGCAGGCAAAGCACACAGTTTAAGAAAAGATTTATTTACCTTTTATGTGAATATGTGAGACGTGAATGTATGTATGTGTACCACATTCATGCTTGGTGCTTAGGCGTCCAGAAGTGGGAGTCAGAGATCCAGGCAGTTGTAAACTGTCATGTGGGTGCTTGGAAAAAAGTCTGCAAGAGCAGCTAGTGTTCTTAACCATTGAGCCATCTTTCCAGTTCCCACATATAATTTTTTTATAGATTTATCTATTTATTATGTATATAATGTTCTGACTGCACATATCCCCGTGGGCCAGAAGAGGGCACCAGATCTCATTACAGATGACTATGGGCCACCATGTGGTCCCTGGGAATTGAACTCAGGACCTCTGGAAGAACAACCAGTGCTCTTAACCTCTGAGCCATTTCTCCAGCCTCTTATATGCAAATCTTAAAAAAAGAAATTCCAGCACTTGGGGTGAGTGGGGAAGTAGAGGCTGATGGATCTCTGTGAGTTCAAGGCCAACCTGGTCTACAACAACCAGTTCCAGGACAGCTAGGGCTGTTACACAGAGAAACCCTGTCTCTCAAAAATAAAACAAAAACAAACAAAACAAAACAAAATGTAAATTCTCTTTACCCCTAATGGCAGTTCCTGGCTACAGGGGAAGGGGAGTAATTTTCTTAGTGGTGTAGTCACTGGTGAGTTGCCCATGTTCCATGTTCATGCAGTACCGTTTAAACTCAGAAGATCACAGACAAAAACACCCAATCAAAACAGCAGCAACAAAGACATGAGAGCAGGTAGAGACTTCTTGACTATAAGGCCATCATTAGGAGTGGAATGGGCACGAGAATGGATAATGGGAGTGGAAATGAGCAAAATATATTACATACATTCATGAAATTATTAATAGAAAAAATTAACTTTAAAGAAAAGAGATGTAAGTTCTGAGGCCCAGACACACCCACAGAACCACAAACTTTATTCACTAGGTCCTGGAATCCTAATGCACATTAGGCTTTAGTTAGCCATTAACTCTTAGTACTTGTTCTCAGATCTTGGTACATGTTGGCAAAAAAAAAAAAAAAAAAGTTTAACTTCTCAGCCTTGAAACCAAACTCTTAAAAACCCAAATTAAGTGTTCAATTTTTTAAGCATCAGTATTTCTGCAGTATTTAAATTTGATATTTTTCATTGATTTATTGATGTGGGTATTTTATGGGTTTTTTTGTTGGCCAGTTTGACTCATAAGCTAAATGATTATGGTGGAGAGGAAGTGTTACGTAGTCGCTGCCCCCTCACTGTAGCGTTTTCTTGTCTTGTTCTCTGTGGCTTCCCACCTCCATTGACTACTACTGCAGTTGTTCCCATTGAGTCAGCCTGCCAGTTGGTGGGATTGCTTTGTGAGTCAGCTCCTGCTGGCACCAGCTACTCCTGAGATGCCTTCTGCTTTTTATGGCACAGATACACGTTTCTGCCATGAGATAGTCGGGCTTCTCAGCTCTGCCTTCAGTCCTTTAAATAACTCATTTTCTTGAAGCCTTGAGTACATGTCTGGCAGTAAATGAGGTCTTAAATCACAAAGTAAGGTAGCAGCAGAATTTCTTTCAGGATTGAAAGCAGTTCAGTACCATAGTGTGCTTAGTGTATATGGGCGCAGGGTTCAGTCCCCAGCATCTATTCTCCCCGCTCCCCAAAATAAAAAGTGATTTCTGGTATGGCTTGAAAATGGAAGAGAGCTTAGAAACAGGGCTTTAGGAATGTTGACTGTGATTTGACATGTCTTGAGTATTTTTCTGTCTCTTCTAGACCTGGAAAGGCGAGAACAAGAATTAGAACAGCTGAGATTGGACTATGAACACTTCAAAGCCCAGCTAGAAACTGTACAGACAGACAGCAGAAGGGAGAAGAAGGTAGGCACTTATGTGAGGCTCCTGCAGGGGGCTCGGTCCAGAAGGTACTGTTGGTTTGCTACCTTTTGCTCATAAGAAGCAACTAGTCTCACATTTTCTCTCTTCACCCTCAGGAAGTTGTAGTTCCGAATATATGTTTTTTAAGTAGGTTAGTAGGTAGGTAGGTAGGTGAACTGTTAATCGAGTTTATAAGCATTTAACATATAGATTATTCACTTCCTTTTAATGAAGCATTTTTTGTACATTTAGAGTGTGTGTATGCATGAGAGAACATCTGCGTGGGCTTGTTTATGTGTATGTATTCAGGCTTGTATATGCTTCAATCTGTATAGAGGTCAGAGGGCAACTTGTGGGAGTTGGTTCTCTTCTCTCCATGTGGGTTCTGGCTTGGCAGCAAGTGCCTTTACCCATTGAGCATCTCCCTGATTTCCTTTAAATTTTGTATTTAAAAGTCTGCTTCAGCTGGACATGATGCCTCAGGCCTTTAATCTCAGCACTTGGGAGGCAGAGGCAGGTGTATCTCTGTGTTTGAGGCCTGCCTGGTCTACAGAGTTTGTTCCAGGGCAGCTAGGGCTACATAGGGAGACTCTGTCTTAAACAAACCAAACCAAAAGGTCTGCTTTAATGCATATGCTTATAACATAGTAAGAATCTTGGAGAAAATTGTGTATATGATAATTTATAATTGGAGATAGATATTAAGTTGAAGTATTTCTAATTAGTTTGGATATGATTTATTGCTACTTAGGAAAAACTAATTATATTTTATTTTATTATTGGAAGAGACTATATTTTTCTCACAGATTATTTTATTTTATATGTACAAGTGTTTTGCCTGCATGTATATCTGTGTAGCATGTGTGGGACAGATTTCCCTGGAGGCTGGAAGAGGGTGCCAGATCCCCTGGAACTAGAGTTACAGACCACTGTAAACTGTCTTGTGGATGCTGAACCTGAATCCATGTCGTCTGCAAGAGCAACAAGTGCTTTTAACTGCCAAGCCACCTCTCTAGTCCCTATAATATTTTGAGATAGTTTTACAGTTGGATAGCATACATTATTTCATCGCCCATAAAACTAGTTCTGTTCTGTCACTTGTAAAATTTTGGGCTTCCATATCTTTGTATTTTAAGATAATAAAGCAATAATAGTGCTGATCAATGACAGCTAGTATGTTTTGGATATTTGCTGTCTGCTAGCAGGCACACAGCTGTTTGAGTCCCACGTACTTCTCCTTTTCCAGGCCTATCAGCAGGTATTACTATTGTTCAAGAGGTTGAATAGCTGGTCCAATGTCATATTGTCTGTGTGCTAATGTGTGTTAAGGAATTCTGAATATCTGTGGCTGTTTTTGAAAACTGGGAGAGTTGGCTTGTATTTAATACTGAGCAACCAGAACGTGGTAGGAAAGACTTTAATTGTAAGGCTGGATTATTATACTGAACAACACAAAGTTGAAGTTTTAGTTTTGCCATAATCTATTAAAACCAGGTGATAAATTGCAAGGCAGTCTGGTCAGTTTCAGACTTAACATTTTATGGCCTAAAAGTTGACCTGTAGGCAACAAGGAGCTGATAGACATTTAAAACACTTTAATCTCAGCCCTTGGAAGGCAGGAGCAGGCAGATCTCTGTGAGTTTAAGGCCAGCCTGTTCTACATAGTGAGATCTAAGATAGCCACAAACAATGAGCCAGGTGACCATGGACTGAAGTCTGTGAAATTGTGAGTCAAAAGGAGTTTTCCTCCTTTTGATTTTTTTTTCTCTCAGGTATTTGTCATAGCAATAGAAATACTGGGCTTTACACAGAGAGTTGGTGCTGGAGCAGGGCCATTGCTGTGATGAAACCTTTGGCCGTGTGGTTTGTAAGCCTTTGGAACTAGTTTATAGGAAGAATTTGGAAAACTGGACAATACTGTGTGTAGAGTTTAATGAGGACTGTGGTGGGTGGGAGCTCAGAAGACTAGGAATGCAGAGTGGAGACTGCTCATGAGATCGCAGATGGGATCAAGGGTTCTATGGGGATTAGAGCGCTGTTCCATTCATGATCTATTATGGCAAAGAACTTGTCTATCTTGTGTCTGTGCTCTAAGACTTTGTGGGAGCTGAGTTCAAAGATTGAGTAGTCTGAAAGAATTTTGTTTTTAATTAAAATATAATTTCTTTTTCTCCTCTTTTTTAACTTTTCTCATGTCCCTTAGCTCCTGCTTCTTCTCAAATTCATGTCCTGTTTTTCTTTAATTATTATTGTTATACACAGAGAGAGAGAGAGAGAGAGAGAGAGAGAGAGGAGAGAGAAACATAAATGCAAAATGTACTGAGTCTGTTTAGTTTTGCTTGTATTATATGATTCTAGGACTGACCACTTGTATTGGATAGTCAGTTAGGGGCCGCTCCCTGGGGAAGACTAATTCTTGCTCTCTCAGCAGTTGTAAATTGCTTGTAGTTCCTTTATGAGTTGGCCTTGTGAACTTCCCTCATTCATACTAGTATGTCAGCTGGTGCTGGAATTGTTCAGATCTTGTTTAAGTAGCCATATTGTAGACATTTCAATGGTATAGCTTCTCTGTCATAATTAGAAGACACAGTTTGACAGTGGATTTTGTGGCCCTGTGGTTTTTTACAGTCTTTCCAATCTCTTAGAAAATGAATTTGGTCTTTCATAGGGGTCTTGCTGTATAAAAAACCCTTTTAGCCAGATTAACAATGAGTATTTAAAGAAAAAAAACTGTCTAAAAAAAGTCACATTTAAAGTTGGGACTAATAAGTGGATAATCATTAGAGATTAGCACCATTGTATGTACCGGGTCAGTAGATAAGGTGTCTTGAGGGCACCTCAGTGATTAGGGAAAACCCACCCATCCTACAATCAAGTATATAACCTGGTGTTAATCCCAGCACTTGAGAGGCAGAGACAGGCTGATCTCTGTGAGTTTGAGGCCAGCCTGGTCTACAGAGTGAGTTCCAGCATAGTTGGAGCTATGTAGAGAGATCTTGTCTCAAAAAAAAAAAGTATAAAAGTTTAAGGTCACTGAAAAGATGAATTAAAAGATTGACCTGCAGAGGTACCCTTTTGCAAGATGTCCTATGGCATTTTCCCCCAAGTTTGTTTGTTTATTTTGTGCTAGAGATTAGAGATCAAACCTTGGCCCTTGTGCATGTTAGGCAAGAACTGATCTACCAAGCTGTAATATAGTCATGGTGTACCTGAATTCCTCCAGCCTTGCTCAGTTATCCATGTACTCATAGGCTAGCACAGCTTAACATACTTATGGGTGATTCTGTTGGAAGGGCTCAGAAGACCAGAATGACTATAGACACACAGAGAGTAAATACTGTGCTCAGGGATGTTGAAATGGGAACTAGACTAGAGAACATTAAGTAGATTTTTGTCTACACTGGGAACTGGTTATAGTTTAAGCTACTGGCAGACCTTTCTGTCCTCAGTCTGATGTTGTTTTTGCAAGGCAGGTCATAGAGGCTTCTACTCAGATTTCAAAGGAGTGTTGGGGAGGCCAGATGATGTATGACAGTGGTAAGAGTACTTGGATGTAGCCCTGGGAGAGCTGTGATGGAATAGACACCTTAAGAAGCTGAAGATGCTAGGAATGGAGACTGGCCAAGGAAAGCTCTAGTCAGTGAGCAGGATCAGCCTGTAAGAGTCATGTGACCGCAGTGTGGCATACTGTAGGGGCTGGACTGCCCCAGCATTTTGGCACCCAGATCATGGTACTACATGTCTGGGATGCCAGCCATGGAGCTACAGGAGGTTACAATTGCCATGCTGATTCCCATCTTACTTTGGTATCCTCCAACCTTTCCATGTGCTGTCTTTGGAATAGAAGTCTTTACTCTGCCTTGTGTAAAACTTTTCTTTTTGGCCTTACAGGGACTCACAGGTGAGAGTTTGCCTTGAGTCTTAGGAAACTTTGTACTTGTCTGTTGATCAGTGCTGGAGCTGTCAGCAATTTGGGGAAATAAACTAACGTATTTAGGGGTATACATAGGATGGTTTTATGAAATATGTATGGCCTTGTCACTTCCTTTGGAGATTAGGTATGGTTTTAGGAGATGTGGCTTAACGGGGGGCACATGTATTTGGGTGTCAAGTTGACAGAGGGTGGACTTGTGACAGTTAATCTAGGTTCTTGGACTGAGAAATACTGAGGACGTTTGTAAGGTACATTCCTGATGCACTTGTGAAGGTATTGCTAGAGGCGATGGGGAGCAGCTGCTCTGAATGTTGTTATGTCATTCAGTAGTCTGAGAACCCAGATGGAATGAAAAGACAAGGAGGAGTAAGCACAGAATTTTTCTCTCTTAATGCTTGCTGGTATCCTTGAGGTAAGCAACCCTACTCTGCTCTACTGTCCTGTCTGCAGGACTACAGCCATGGGATGGATTGACTATGGACTGAAACCTGAAACCCTAATGGAAAAGAAATCTTTTGTCTTTTGTTTGTTTGTTTGTTTTCTCGAGACAGGGTTTCCTCTGTATCTCTGGCTGTCTTGGAACTCACTTTGTAGACCAGGCTGGCCTCATAGAGATCCGCCTGCCTCTGCCTCCTGAGTGCTGGAATTAAAGGCCTGCACCACCACCACCCAGCTTAGAAATCTTTTATCCTTTTACCTTGTTCTGTCAGGCATTTGCCAGTGATGGAAGGTTAATAACATACCAGGTCACTATTGAAAAGGGTTGTGGAGAAGACACATTGTGAACAGGCTTATCAAACTAAAGTGGGATGGGAGTTCCTAGCATGAATGAGGCCTTGGGTGATGTGGGATTCCCCTCTGTATGCTGTGAATAACATTGGTGAATAAAGAGACTGCCTTGGCCTGTCAATAGGGCAGAACTTAGGTAGGCAGGGAAAACTAAACTGAATGTTGGGAAAAAGAAGGGCGGAGTCATAGAGAAGCCATGTAGCCCCGCCAAACACAGACTCTGGAACTTTACCTGATAAATCACAGCCTCGTGGTGATACAGAGATTATTAGAAATGGGG